CTACAGTGAGCCAAATTCTTTTTAAATATTTCTTCTCCGCTTACAGGGACTTTACGTTCTATCCACTATAATAGTGTCCTTTTTCGAAGTGTATGTGCAAGGTATAGTTTTTTTTTTGTGCCACCTTCAGAAGATCATAAAAATTAAAATGATTGCCCAAACTTTGTTCGTTGCACGTGTAAAAGTTTTGTCATTATGTTGAGTAGCGCTGTCGTTAATGGGTTTCCATGTGTGGGCGAATCAGTTCCTCTAACCACCCTACCAATTCAATCCCAACCTCTTTTCCATGCCCGTCCTTCAGTTTACAGCTGTAAGCAAACAGTCGACTGTCGTTTGTCGATGGCTCAAAGCAATTGTATTGCCGTAAATCAAAGGTCCACAAAGTATTTCCAACTATTTTTTATTGTTACTATCTGCGGCTAAAAGCGTAGTTAACTTAATGAACACGTTCCATTTGTAGACAAAGTCAAGCAGCAAATGAACTTTGCGCTCAAACAATGCAGCTGCAATAAAGCGATTGTTTGTCATATAAGACAAAGTCATGCAAGACAATATCATCAAGGAATATTTCCGAGTGTGAGTTTAACAGCCGCTGTGTCCTTTTATCCTTTCTCTGTTGGCTACAGCGTAAGTTGAGTGAAAAGAAGCGCTGAAGAATCAGCTGTTGTTTGTTTTGCTCTGTTATTGGCCACGCGGCGTATGAGTGATTTTATTTAACAGAGAACTGTTAGGACCTCAAGTTACTTATCTTTTTTAGATATTTTTTTAATGCCATAAACTTCATCATAAAAACAAGAAAACTAATTCCATGACTGGAGCCTGCATATAACTTTAAGTCAAATTATGTGGCACTTCCGTACCAGCATCTTTATATTGTTAAATAACAATTTGAAACAATTCCCCTTGGCTTTCAAATTAAATGTAGCATACCCCAGCAGCCACCATTTCTCATTTCCTGTTGTCCTAGAGAACCCAGGAATTTCTATTATAATCGAAACTTTTTATCGGCGCACTGCGCACTTGGCGAAACGTTTGCATTTAGCACGCGCTAGAAATTACTTTTGTCCTGGCGGGAAAATGTCCTGCGGCTACTTGACGCATTAGCGAACTAGGGAGGCGATACATTCGTTGCCATAACATCATAAAATTCCATAATTGAAACCAGCACCAGCATCCTCGAGGGGAATGGGAGGCAGTCTTACCCCGTCCAAGGCGATTAGTTTGTCCTTTGCTGAATATAGCTGATCAGATTTGGGCGGGCAACAGCTTACCTGCCCACTAATTACCCTAATTATTATTACAATTAGCTGACTAACTTTGTACTTTTGTGCGAAGCACTATGAAGCATTTCCTACTTTATTATTCGGAACTTAACTCGAAACTTTTCTGCAATTTGTATGGTTTATGCGAGATGGATGGGAATATATGATAAATCGAAATTTAAAAAGTAGGTTTACATTGAAGCTTTTTTATACGTTATTATAAAATTCTTAATATGTCTAATTTTATTTTAGGAAAGGAAATCAACTTATACCTCAGCTTTCACCGCATAAACCTTAAACCATCCATCACCTTTGTTTTAAGATGAGAATGCCAAAGGAAAACTTTTAATGAGCCTTGAAACGGAAAAGTATATAATGATTTTATAGTTCGTAGCTTTGCTTTGCTTTTGGGGCTCACAGTTAACGCCACATGTCCTGGAGAACTGCAGCCAATAATTCACTTAGCAGCCACAGAAAGTCGGTTTTGAAGTGAAAAGTTAACTGCTGGCATGCAAGTCGTCGTTTTGAATGACTCTTTGACGCCGCCCTCTGTGGCCGCTCTACAAAAATGGGAACATCAAAATAACACGATGCCTGACTGACGGAAAGCGGGTATGTCCTGGTCCCGTAGAGTAAACACAATTCAATTAACTCGGCGTTGGTTGTGGGGCAATGTTTGGATGGTCGCTCGGTTTTGGCCATTGTTGTGCAAAGGCTCAGGCACAGACGAAGCTAAAATAACTGAAAACGACAAGCCGATGATGGCATATAGCCAAGAGCACAACGAGATGAACAAGAAGGTGTGGCAGTTGCCAAAAAAAAGAAAAAAACTTAATTTTTAATATCATCTCTATATTTTTCGACAATCTTTAATAATAAACTCTACCCTGTATTTTTATAAAACACTCTAACTTTTTCTGGTTAAATATTTCTCAGTGTAGATGCTGCAGTGCATGCAACAAGCCACAAAAGCGTCCCGACTACAGCAAAGCACTTGCATTATTAAAATTTTCATTTGGCGGCCTCTCTCGAAAATAAAGAACCTACTAATTGACCTTTTTTCGGGGGAAACACAAAAACTTAATCTGCTGCTGGGACGAATAGTGCCCAGCAAATTCAATTTTGGCTGCTTCAAGTTTATAATTTTGGGCCTAAACAGAATTTAATTTATGAAAAACTTAATATAAAGAGATTCTTACTATTGTTCAACTATTGTATGCTTAATGAGCTAAATGTTGAAAAACTTTGACTTAACCGAGCACGACAAGCGTTCGTTCATTCATCATCCGCAAGAAATTTAAGCAAAGCAGCAGCTGAAGTGTAAATGTCATTGTCAGCTTGGCTCGAGGGGAGCATGATGGCTGGGGAAAGTATATCCTATGGTCCTTGCACATACCCTTTCTCTTAAGGGGTTATATGGAAATAAAAGTGGGAAATATTAACAAAATTAGGTTCAAATTTTCATAAAAGAAAGAGCTACTTACCAAAAGAGTTTAAAGAAATGTTTTTAACACTCTAAATGCAGGGTATACAACCTCCTTCAACTGAAATTTCCTACGCAGTAGTTACTTGTGTTTCTTATGGCTTCTTTTATTGTACGACACAGCAGTTGGGCAGGAGTCATCGCCGTAGTCAAAGTACGACATCCAAAGGATACGCTGCGTGGTTGTGGCAAGGAGCTGGAGACGCACGACTGCCGTTGACACTTTGCCGCCGGAGGTTGGGAAAATCTGCGAAAAGCTCAGAAAAAAGAGGTCCTTCCGAAAGGGTAAACGGCGGCGGCGGCGGCGCCAAGGCTGCGGGATCGTTGGAGTGTGACTTTGATTTTTGGCCAAGCTACGGAGATGGGAATGTCGGGTTGTGGAACGACTTACCTCTGAAATAATGACTCCATTTTCCGCCGCATACATTTCCAGCAATGTCACGCCTGGCCGCGGAGGCTTTGTTTTCATTTTTCCCCGGTCTTTGTTTTGCTTTTCCACGGCTCCGTCGACCAGTCACTTCTTTAAAGTTGAATCCGCTAAAAGCGAAATCCATTGAAACTTTTCCTTTCGTTCTTTTTGCTTAAATGTCCCCTGCCGGGTCTAAAAATAGCGTTAGAAGAGAATTCCTTAAAAATTTAATACAATTTTTTTGTTCTGAGGCCTTTCTAAGAGGGTGTTTTATTTTTAAGGGCAATTTGCCGAGCGGGTAGTTTTGTGGGCTGGCCGGGCCAATATTTTATATAATGTTTCAATTTGCCATCACATAGACACAGATACCGTTGTAGGGGCGTTTGTGTGCGTATGATTGATATCAATTTTGCTTTGATGAACGCTCCAAGGAATTGCTACCGAGTTTATTTATTATACTTTTGGGTAGCCCATCCCATTCCCCATTCCATTGGCTCGTTCAAATGTTTGGGAATCACATTTTTATACAATTTCCCCGCCACAAATTCGAAAAGCAGAGTTTTCCTGGGTCCCCCTGCCTTTGTGGTTTTCGGTTTAAATGGAGAGGCAGCCTAAAACTTTTCTCCTATTTACTGAAACTATATACTATACTGGGTATACTGGGAAATGTTTACATCTAAGCACACACATTCGTACATAAATGCTTACATATATTCAAATCAGTCTGCCTTTTGCCTAACGCATTTGCATATCAAAATGTTTTACACCAGAAAGAAAACAGAATAAAATATTTACAAACATACTAGACGCAAAAAAAGATATGAGAACAGGGTCCAGATGAAAACATTGACACGATTTGGTCAAAGCGACAACCGAAAATTGATTATTCCATTTATATTCCGACACGAATTTCTTTGCTGTAGGAATTACTCATCAATTTCAATGTGACTGCATGTGTGAAAAATGACCCTTGAATATTGAGAACTTCTATGTTGTATCGACTAGTTGATAGAGCAAATAAATAATGCATTGTGCCTGAGAAGCAAGACTGGCATAAAGGCATATAAAATTCAGCCCCAATTCTTTACAATCGAATGCAGATTTATTTCTTTTGCACCCAGGCACCTAGAAAAATGGCTTAAGGCTAGCTAAATAAATTCTAGAACTGAGTAAAAGGTGCGTTTAAACTTAAAAGTATTGGACGACTCTCCGAATGCAGCGGTGTCCAAATAAGTGGCCACATGTAAAGAAATTTCATTTAATAAACGAAGGTTTTTGCCCACCAGTACATTTTGTGAATCTTTGGTGGCTTCTCCTCCTCCAGGTGATTCATATTCAGGATTAAAAAACTTTAATTCCTGATCCTCAGTTTTTTTCCCATATTTTTACAATTTTGGAAAAAGAAAAGGGGAGCTTTAAAAGTGTTGACACACTAGAAACGGAGTAATATTCATAAAATCGTTATCGATTTTAAATGTTGCCCTTTTCTATACTAAATCACTTTCATCACTAAACTTTTTGAATAACTTGTCAAATATGTAAAAAATTTCTATAAATGGACTGTAATTAATAATTAAGATCAGAATATTATATTTTATTATATAATTTATCCAAATTCTCAGTTATTTTACACCAAAATGAATACACCAAAAGAAAATAATTTCAATGAATGTCTGGACAAGCTTCAACTGAAGAGGAACCTTTCCAAGAATTTCCAGGAATTAAAAAGGTAAAAATAAACATTTTGAAAATGTAATAATATTTAAAATTATTACCAAAAAAGGAGTCAAATTGGAATTCATCCCCACGCAAGTCGAAGTGAAGCTTCTCTGGCCTGTGTGTCAAAATCATCGTGGATTGTTGGTAAGTAAATGTTTATTTTTGAATATTTTTGTCGGTAAGTTTGCGAAATGGTTTATACGCTGCACTGGCAACTGGGTGGCTGGGCCGAATCTTATTTTAGTAGGAAATGAAATTCACGTAGTCGAGGGATCCTGCAACCTATTTGGATTTGCTTTTGCTTCGCTGCAGTCGAGAGCGGAGCATCTTGTTCTCGTCCGCGCACTTGGTGGTGATGGCAGTGCGGACCTCCCGTGGTGTCATGTCCATGCGGTTGGTCATCAGATAAACCAGATCGGCCACCTTGAGCGGGTCCAACTGCTGCTTGCTGGGACGGGCACAGTCCTTAAAGGCAGGCGAGGGCTTCCCAGAGAGGGTATGATGAGCCAAGGTGTCCCGATCGAAGATCTCGCATAGTAGCTTTCGGGTAATCGAGGGTCCAGTCATATCCCAGTTTATGGCACTGAGACTGGCACGGGATACTTTTGTTCCATTCGGTCCAATCATTACCATGGGAGAGTCTAGGTCTTTATCAAACTCGAAGCCAGGACGCGGACGTTTTGTGTTCGGAGTGGAGGTCACTGGCTTTTTGGCGCGCTTCCGCTTATTACCCGACTCTTCAGGTTCTGGCACATAATCTTCGTCGTCGTCATCGATCCCTAGATCCTCGTCATTGGTTTTGGGAGTGGATGTATTGTGCTCGTCGGCACCATCACGGAACATCTCAAAGTGTGCCGATCTCTGGTCTTGCTCCTGCTCCTGCTCTTGATCCTGTTCCTGTTCGGTTTCCTGTTCGTCCTCCAGGTCCTGCTCCATTTCCTGAACCTTTTCGATTTCTATGGTGAGCAGATCTAGCGCCTTGCGTTTACTGCGCTCCCACTGCATTAGAAGCTTCAGACGCGCCTCATTTAATGCCTGAATGGTGTTCCGCATCAGTTCGGACCTTTCCGCTTCCAATACAAAGTCGTTGTAGTCTAAGTAAAGTTCCTCTTCCCCAAAGCTCATTGATTTTTGAGTTTTAAGAAGTTTTTCAGCGGCCAGAGTCAGAGTTTCCAGAGTGCTCAGCTTGCCGTTGTCGCACATTTCGATCTGCCGCATGGCGCGATCGGCAAAATCACTTGCTTCCTGACTACGCCTCATTTTTGTGTCATCGCTCTCCTCCTCCGTAAGGGAATCATCGGTACGTAGACGAGCTATGATGTCCTCCACTTGCTTTTGAGCCTCCGACATTTGAACCGTTTCGGGATCATAGGGAAGTAGGGTCAGAGCGAATTCCAAACGTTGTCGGCGGTTAACCTAAAAATGGGACATGTATGATTATTATTTGTTCATGCAGTTTATTTTTCTTGCTGCACTTACCATTGTTCTGCTTGAAGTCTAATTGTAAACTGATTCTAATGTTAAAATTCGCAGTCTTATATACTCGACTCACCAGGTCAATTAGCAAAAATTATACTAATCCTTTTTATTACCCTTACCTCTTGCAGATGGCGCAAAAGTCTGGGATTTCGCGCGCCTACCTGCGGGGGGATTTCCGTGCAGCTGTCGGTCCATTTCGAGGCGCATTTTCGGTTTCCGGGAACATAAACTGGTTGCTGTATCGGACTCAACTCAAACAGCTTATAGCCAAGAAATGGGCACCCAAACGAAAATGGACAATTCTCAGTCGATGGATACTTCCACTCAGTCGATGTTAAAACTGAGAGATCAAAGCCCAAAATCTCCCGACGTAATGGCCACACAAACTTCGAATCAAAACCTTCCTGAGTGTTCGTGCCAGAGGCCCAAAAGTCAAGTCAAAAATGATGCATCCACACAGTCTGTCGTATCAAAACAGGCCAAGAAAAATGTATCCACACAATCTGTAAAAAATTTGAAGAATGCCCAGACACAATCACATCAAAATCATACAGCGTCTTCACAAAATTCTAAAACGGAAAAAAATGGCGTGAAACCCACAAAGGAAAAAGGCACATCGCGGAAATGCTTCTGGAAGCATCCAATAATTGTTGTAAACAGGGATAGTTCTAGCAAAGTTCTGCAATCAGAAAGTACGAGAAATGGACGAGGGAAGTCTGCGATAAAAATCAAAACGCGAGACAATCAGACACAATATGAAATACCTTCTAATGGGGCTAGAAGTGAAAGAAATAGTTCACTTTCGTCCTTTCTACCAGAAATAATCGATAGGGTTGATCAATTAGAATCCCAATTAAGGAGGCAGGAAAGATCCCTAAGAACCCTGGAGGGGTCAGTAAGATCATGGAAAGTCCAGGAGAGTAAGCCCGCAGATTGTAGGATTTTATTTCAATCGAACCCCAATGATTTTCAGACGCCCCAAAAAAAATCTATCGAGGAAAAATCCACTCAAAGTACAGAAAGATGTTTGACGGCCCAGGAAATCACTGCCGCGCAGAAGAAGCCGCTAACTTCTGATCAATCAACTCAGAAGAACGATAATGCTAGTTCCGATGATAAGACTTTATCTCAAGAGTTTCTAGAAATATTTATGTTGCCCAAAACCAAGTCACCAAAGACTACCTTAAAGAATAGAAGTGCTTCTGAAACTGATACCCAAAGACCCACATCCACACGGTTTTCACAGGACATGGAAATTTTATTAAAACATTTTGATAAAGCTTTCGAAAATAATAGTGAAGAATGCATTTCTACCAATACCAAGATGCCAGAAGATGACAAATGCCATCGGCCCATATCTTCCCGTTCCATTAGCCCGTCGGGAAACAGTTCAAAGGAAAAAGAACTCGAGAATCTGATAGAAAAATTTGGTCAATTGGTTTCGAAGCTGAAAAATGATTCCATTGCCACGCAAACAAAAGATTCGTCTTCATCGATCAAACGCAGTTCCTCTAGGCCCTCTTGTTCGCGAAATGATTTGCCAAAACGAGACTATAAGCCATTTATCCAGCAACTTGCGCAGCTCTTTGCCAAGTCTCAGGCACCAGAATCGAAGCCGACTCCAACATCAGTTGAACCCAAGAGTGGTTCCTTGGATCGTTTCATGGCGGAGCTAACAAGATTTTTTTCAAAACAGTCTGAACAGGAATCCAAGCCATCCACAATAAAAGAACAAAATCCTAAAATGGTAACGATCATTTCAAAAGAAGAAACTCTGGCACCAAACTCCAAATTAAAGTCAATTTCGACCCAATCGCAAGTTAAAAATCCTGATTTAGATTCCAAGGATGAAAAAAATAGGCCTTGTGCTAATGAAAGTAAATCTACGTTCAGCGAAGTAAATGGATCCAATGTATCAATACGGGCCATACCACAATGGGAGCCTGATGCGAGTCGCTGTCAGTGTGGAGATGGAAAAGGAGCCATAGGCGATAGTTTAATTGAAAATTTAATGTTCATAATTGGGGGACGATCTCTTAAGGATGTTGTGCTGACCATAGTCCGGCAAGAGGGAAATATATATCATATGTCGGTCAGGGAAATGGATACTGGCCTTATAATAGGCTGTCTATTGGCCAATGGCATCGCAATAAGAGAGGCTATCGCTCTGGGACTATTCGAGGACATTAAGACATTCTGCGAGCTGGACAAGCTCAAAACACGTGATCCGCAGGAATGCCCTGTGGGGGCTAATGTTCTCTTGGGAAATCCTCGAGAACGGGGAGGCGAAGCTCAACTGAACAAAAAAGGCATGTGCAAGGATGGACAGGCGTTTGCCACTCGAGTACTGGGACTTCCAGCAGAACAGGCTGCTCGATTCTTCTCCCTAACCAATGCTCTCAGACTAGCAAAGAATCCGTCTGAACAAAGCATCCGGGAGACCGACAAACCAGAGGTCCAATTTGGCAAGGGAGCAGTCACTGGTAGCATGTTGGCTATAAATAACGTGGATACAGCTCTTGTGAGCTCAGGGTCGGAGTCTAACTGGCGGCAATTGGGTGCATCATCAAGTCTATTATTTCCCTTAGTTTCTGACCAAGAGGATGAGAAACAAAACTAGAAAGGGTATACTTAAAGAATCATCTTTTCCATTTGCTCATCAACATTTTTACACTTTTTGTAACGATTTAATTCTGCATTTTCATTTCTAAAAATAAAATCAAAAGTATCCAAATTTATCTGATCAGCTTGATTTTTTCTCTGAAAGATTTTTTTGAAAAGTCTTATGTAGCAGGTAAGATTAATAGTTGCAACGGTTGCACGTTGCTAATTCGGTTTTATTGCGAATCGCCCTGCATCTGGCATATTGGGATAATCCGCGCAATCAGCGAGTACCATTGGCAGGTCAATTAGAAATCAGTTTAGCTAAACCCATTTTAAGCCTTCAGCCCTTGGCATCTGCTAGGTGTCATAAAGTAAGCAGGTAGAACCACTTCTGCTCACACTTTAGTCCTTTAAAAGGACGGTAAATCGGAGAGCTGTCATCAGTTTTTCAAAAACAGCGAAACAAGCAACATTGTGTCTTACAACAAGTGAAAAATAAAACTTTGTACATTCTCAAAACAACAATATAATCATCCATCATGAGCAACATTAGCAACGATAGTGGTCTGGATGACTCCGCCAACTGTGGCGCCGTGGCCAACTCGCATCCATTGGCTGCCACTCGATTGTCCTGGTTCCTAGCCGAGGTTGATGACGGTGCTATGAGTAATGGAAAACCGAATGGCCATCCCCGACTCTGCGTCCTCCATTCCATGGAACTGCTGGAGACGGATGTATCCGAGAAGTACATGACCCGCTTTGTGGAATTCCGGGTTAACGGAATGGTGCTCGAGGCCAAGTTGATTCTGGCCGCCGACGAGAGGCGCCTAGTGGATGCAGCCTTGTTGTCCATGAGCAAGGAGCAGCGGGAGGATTCCAATTCCAAGCAACTTCTGGTGCAATACACGGAAAATGAGGAGACTGGAGAACGCCTGGTCCACAAACTCGTCTCACCGAGCAACGTTAGGTGGCTCAGTGCCAAGCCGGAGCTGGCCAACACTCCCCTGGTCAGCTTAAGTCCGGGTTGCGTAGCCCACGTCCTTTATGCCTACGACAACCGGGATTATATGGAAAAGGTCTTACTGCACATGAAAACACGCTGCTTCGACGATGCCTTCGATGAGAATTTGGATTCGGAAGCCACTATGACCGATGACACGTGGATGCTGGTCCAATACAGTCCCGATCCTGAGACTGTGGTCTACCAGGTGGTGCAGTATAGCCAAACGGTTTGGCGACAGGAGAATCTCTTCAAGGACGTCATCGCCTACATCCAACTGCCAGGCAACGATCTGGTTCTTCAGGCCGTGGTCATTAGCTATGGCCTGCAAAAGGAAGTCCAGCAAGCCAAATTGGAACACTTACGAAACCTGGGCATGGAGATGCAGTTTCCACTGCCCGGAGAACTATCGAAGCAGCTGGAGCAGGGCAGCGGCACGGCGGCTCTTTTCTCCCGGACCAGCTTGTACCAGAAGGCGGAGCAACGGGATGCCACCGGAGAACACAAAGAACTTCGCCGGAGCTTGGAACAGATGAGCGAGAAGGCACAGGTCGAGGCTCAGATGATCATTGATGCTTTTGACATGGTGGACAACATTAACAAGAATCTCCAATACCGATTATCGGGAGACGGCCGCTTGGCAGAAACTACGTCTGCAGATGAACTGCAATAATTTAACATTATTTTTTTATTTTTAAGCGTAAAATTAAATTTAGGGTTTAAGCCAGTTACTAACTAGCTACTGCTGTAAAATTAATCAAGTTAAAATTTAATAAGGTAAAAAGTCTTAATTTGTACGGACATATTTAAAAAATAAATAATAAAATAAGTAATATAACATATTTTAATAATATTAAAATAAATTAAAAATTTCCTAAAAGTAACCTAAAAGTTTTCATTCAAATACTGGTGTATCGATATCGTTATCGTAAAGCTGTCTAATTGTTACCCAGCACTGGCGGTGACTTTTAACAATCAGCGCAACCAAGCAACTTGTCAGTACGTAGTGCTTCTAAAAAAAAAAAATAATAAAAATCTTTTCTTCCAACATAAAGCGACGAAAAAGAGACGACTGCAGTATGGACAATAAGATTAATATAATTGTTAAGGAGGAGCCGAACTCCCAAGATCAAGATCAAGATGTCATTTTCGTCGGTGAGAACGTGCCGCCGAATCAGCAATTGGGCACGCGCGTGAAGGAGGAAGCAGAGACCGATGTTAAACCGGTCCCGATTTTGGCTGCTGACGGACTGCGATCGGAAATAGTGGCGTTTTACCAGGGGGAACTTGATAAGAAGGACTTTGCCCTCAACATGGCGCACTTCGAGAAGGGCCAGCTTGCCAACGAACGCGACGAACTTTTAAAGCAACTTCAGCGCGAGATGTCCAAGTCTGAGGCCCTTATGATTGATGCGGAGAACAATCAAAAATCATACGACGCTGTCGTCAAAAGGATTGAATCCGAAAACCAACTTATGTTAGAGGATCTGTCGAATCAGAGGGACCTTTTTCATATGCGTATGCATGAGCTTGAGGAATCGCTCGAAAAAAAGGAATCGGACTTGGAAAAGATCTTGGAAGAGCAAACGTGCTCCATTTGTCTTTCTCCCTGGGAAGCCCAGGGGTCTCATCGCCTGATGTCGCTGGCCTGTGGCCATCTTTTTGGGGATAGCTGCATCCGCAGCCACATGGCACGCAACCCCTTCTGCCCGTATTGCAAGCACCCAATCCAGCCGTCGGCCTTGCGTTACATCTTTGGCTGCCGCATCCAGCCGCGTACTCAGGATGTTACAACTGGAGGATGTCAGATGTTGGTTCAAACTACTCCAAATCAACCTTCATTGCACTTTTCAGCACCACAATACCAAGTGGCTATAGGACCTTCGACTTCAGCTCCACCGCCTACGCCTCGTACGATCATAGTTGCAGGGCCGAATCGTGCGGTCCCTTCCGATCCCACTGCTCCAGCTTCGTCTCGGCCGATTCTTGCACCGTTTTCTCGACCGGTCTTAGCTCCTCCTCCTCCGACATTGCCTCCGGCCTTAGCTCCACTGACATTAGCTCCGCCCGTAGCTCGTCCGACTGGCTCAACTTCTTCGGCTCAACCATCAACACGAAATGGTCGCGTAGTGCAACGTGAAATGGCCCGTCCTTCTCAACCTTTTCCCCCTCAGGCGAATCCGAAATAGACCGGAATATTTTCAAATAATTTAATTAATAATAATACATTTTTAAAATCATAACCACTTTGTAAAAGGTATGAATAACCTTTAGTCTACCTAAAAAAAAACAATCTGATGTAATACCCATGTTCAACTTCATTATGAAAATCCGTTTTTTATAATGTATTTTAAAGAAAATTTAATAATAGAAATAAAGAAAAAAATACAGATTGAAAAAAAACTTTGTTCTTGTTTTGTAAATAATATTAGGTATGCATCGTTGACGGCATTATTTTAAGGAATTCCAAGTTGTAAAATCATGCAGTTAATTATTTTCGGTGAAAAAAGTTGGGTTAGCCGGCACGTCGTTATGCGATGGAGTGGCCACATTATTTGGATACGGAACTAGTACAGTTTGTGGACCTACGCCTGTAGATGGATAAAAGGCGTATGGCACTGGCGGCCTTATAACATAGTGGCCAGGAAAAGGCGGATGGAAAACTGGCCCCGGTACCATCGGCTGGTTGTTATGATTGATCCCGGAATGCATATGATTTGGAGTTGGTCCTGGATAGCAGCCAGTGGGAGGCATATGAACTGGGACCATCTGATGAGTTGGCGTGTTTGGTTGGGGTACGAATACATTTTCCTGGATTGGCGGCAGCTGATGTGAAGGCGCATCAATCTCACTGATCTGCAGTGATTCTGCAGGGGCGATCGGATCGGTGGATGGTTCCGGAGCATTTATTACACTCCGTTGAATAATTCGGCTCATTGGATTAACGATCGGTGTGCGTTGCGGAGTATTTTCCCGTCGCACTTGGCTACGGACCAGGTTTTGTGGGCGTGGCCACGGCTTAAACTGACCTGGAGGAAGTGGATGGAGGGTTTCATAGGGCACTGTCAACGTTCTACCCAAACTTTCAACAAAGACCACGCACAAGGTTTTGTCTCGGTTGATGGCCTGTATGTGGCAGATGCTCATCTCTCCCAGTTCATCAGTGTCCAAATCAACATGGCACTTGGCACCCACTTTGAAATTGTAGTCTCCGGTGTAGACGTTCAGGTATTTCAACTCTCGGGAAAACTTTAGCTCCACATTTCGATAAATAAAGGGATCCATTGATTTGGCTATCGAATATGAAAACGGAAGTCGATTGTTTTTAAGAATGAGGCGCACACAAGACAGATTATCCTCATGCAGGCTGTTCAAATTCTCCCAGTAGCGATAATGGAACGTGCACCTACGGTAGTCGGCCAAGAGACAGACGGTGTTCTCCGGGCGATCGAGTTTAAAGCTGCGTCCATTGGAGCACAGCATACGGATTACACCCTCGATATTATCAATCTCAATTTTGATTCCATTCTCAAAGGTCTGGGGATACAGCATCATTTCAACGGCCAGGTTGACATCCGGTAGGCAAAAGAGCATCTTGTAGAGTAGCTTGTAGGCAATGGCCTGACAAACTGCGGCTGCGCTGACCTCGGTCATGGAGATGACAGAGTCAAAATTACCCTGCCCGTCCGAGAAGATCCAGAATTTTTCGGTGTAATTCTTGTGGAAGACAATAACTTTGCCCAATTCAAAGGGTGTGTACCACGCAACATTGCGCTTATATAAATGGCATAGGGCACGCAGCTCCAACATTGTTCCCTTTTTTTGAGCATTTTGTAAATGCGACAAATATTCATCAAAGTCCCCTTGGATCAAGGGCTCAAAGAATCGCCTTTTGCGGAACATAAAGCGTACACACTCCATCCGGATTTCATAGTGGAGCATCTGGGTGTCATATAGCTGTTCCGCAACAACGCGAAACAAGTTGCTGCTGTCCTTCACCGTGTGCTTTCGAAAAAGCAAGTAGTTTTCCAAGAATTTGTCGATCGGATGCATTTGATCACGACTCCCAAGACGTACGCGCCGATCCATAAATTCTGACATCATCTAGTTAATATATTTGTCACTAAAGATACTTTTGTTAAATACTAAGATGATAAATATTCAAACCTTTTCTTTTAAATGCGCCAGACGAATTTCTCTTTTTAAACTTAACCAACCATGTGCCAATTCACGTGTTTTCTTCTTCTCGCCTTTATAGCCTTGCCAGAAGGTTTAAAACAGTGCTGCATAAAGCGATTTACAAGCTTATCGTATTTTCTGAACTTTTTAAAATATATACATATGTATATACTACAAAATTATACCATAAATAAAGAAAATGATTAAAAATTAATGGTTTTAATTATGCTCTTAAATTTCTTTAAATAAATGTTTCATCAAGTCCATATTTTCCGAAATTGTGATAAAATTAATAAATTAATAAAATTAATAATTAAAAAATAAGCTAGACATTGAAGGCAGAAGGCAGAAATAATCGAGTAAATTATTTTAACATAATTCGATTTCTGCACGTGTCGCCATCAATTTTGGCCAAAATGTTTACCATGTGAGAGACCGGGAGGAATATTAGCTAAACGCTTTTCAATTATTTAGCCATCATAGTATCATTCATGAGATTAATTCCACCCATCCAACCACTTCATCATCATCAGCGGGGGCAGGAATAAAAATAAAACATGATAATGAAGTGAAGGAAAATAGACAGGCAGAAGATTTAAGCATTTCTTCCGCTGCCCATCGGGATATTGACTTGCTGATTATTTTTATTTGCCCTGCCGACGCTTCAATAGAGACATAAAACTATGCCAACACACGAGTATAAACATTTATCCACGATTAAGTGTGCTGTTTGTTTTTATGTTTGGTTTAGCGCTTCCGCCGCCGCTGCCAGCCTCCCAGGCAGTCAGAAATTCCTCGCCCCTGGTAGACACTGCGTATACGCATTAAATGGCCCAGAATGAGATACCAAAATAAAAACGACACGAAAATTGGCATCGGAGGGGACGCAAACACTTGGCCAGATTAAAGTGCGCCAAAAGTGTGCATTTCATTTTCATTGGGGACCCGTCAGGCTCGAATTCAATAAAAACCCTGCCCATAAATCAATGAAAAACTAATCGAAAAATCAAAAGAAAAACTCTGGGGGTTTTTTTTTGTATAGATTCAAATTAAATTGGCTGCCCAACAAAAACCCATATGATATGACCAGCTATTAAGCAAAACATAAACTGGCCCAAAAAAAGTAGCGCTGTTCTATTTGAAATTCATTTAAAATGCAAATCAATTAAATTAAAAGCGCAACTTTATTTCCTTGCTTGCCATTTCAAAATTTCAATTTATGCAAATGTTGCAGCAAATCGTGGCAACCAGTCCAAGCCGCAAGCTTAAATGCTCATTAGTGCCTTCTGTACGAAAAAAAGGACCCTCGAATGGGCAAGGATTTGGGGAAGAAGCGCAGTGGAGCGTATTTTTGTGTCGCCTGCATTGCTTTTACAATTTCGAATTTACAGCTTGAATACGAAATTTGTACATCCCCCGAAAGTCATCGGCAGACCTCCACACTCAACGCAAAGCACTTGAAATCTAGGGGCTTTAACTTACCGAATTGCATACAATTAATTTGGACTTACGATAAAATCCAAAGCCATGCTTATTTATTTAAATAAAACAAAGATTTCTGCAGCTGCATTGTTATGCATTGTTGCGTAAGTTGATTCCCTTTTAATGATGAGGTCTAAAGGCAAAAATAATTTGTTTGTGACAGCCTTTGATCCTTAGGTTTATTCCATTGTTATTGCATAAAAGTATATCAGACAGAAATGCTTTATCAGTTTGACTTTTTGCTTTTTTTCTTTGAATTGATTTCGAATTGATTTTTGCTCCACATATTCAGTGATGCTTTGGATAAGGTTGCCGAATAAACTTTAACTAATTAAAAAGTTGCCTTTCGAGAAGAATAAAAACTTAGTTCAGAAACCGCAGGAGATGAACTTTTGTTCCAACCTCCAAGTTTAATTTACCTTCCAAGTTTTTGACTAACTATGTGATGACAATTTGGCTTATTGCGGCTGCATAAAGTCACTGTCACATGTAGCACAGCGGGGAGGTATTCGAGGTATTTTCGAGCTTGTTGCTCTAATCCTTAAAGCGTTCGGCAGCCAGCTTAGGATATACATACATACATAGCTCTTGGCGTTATGCTAAAGCATTGTCAGCACACAAACTGTGGCCACACGATAAAACGAAGACTAAACAAGCAGCCAGGAACCACAACGCACACAAGCTATGTTACTAGCGGTTTTAAGTTGCCCTCCCGGCAATTGCAGGAAAAAATGAAATAAAATAAAAAGCCATGTAGAACATTCTGCTGTAGTCCACACAGAATCGGCCAAGGACCGTCGGAAGCTGAAGTTTAAAGAAAAAAGCCATCCACGCGACTGGACTTTGTCCAAGAATAGAGTACTCGGAGCTTAAACGGCGTGTGCATTTACTATCAATAACTTTTTTATTCACTTCGTAAATGCAGTTATCCAATTCAGCAAGCTTAAACCTATATCCTGGAGTCGTTTTAAGCAGGAGAACATATTCGGATTCTTCATATTTGAAATAGTATACCAAGCCATTTAGAGATAATTTTTATTTTCCTTAGTTTTATGGTGAAAATCTTGGCATATCGGGTATCAAAGAGTCCAATGCTGTTGACTTGTAGCATTTATTTTTTATAATTCACTTGAGCATTGTTAAGGCTGCTGTGTGTGTGTGTGTTTATGTGCTACCTCATCATCAACTGGAGCTCCTGCCCCAGGACCCTCCCTCCCATTTATTTCCACACATGCAACCACTTGAGAGGACTATGGTTGTTGCTGGTTGCTGGCGTATTTGTATTTGCCATGCCATTTGTTGGGGAAATTTTTCTTGATTGCCTCGCCTTTAGCATTTTGCTTGTTTTTCGCTTATGCGTCGTCATCTTTCTTTCGCAGTTTCCTCTTCCTGTTTTCCCATTTTCCCCAGTTTGTTTTTCATTTTTACCCCGCTGCCCTGTCTGGCAGTGATTTTGACATTTCACGCGCATTTGTTTGTTATGCTTTTCTGGCCAGCATTGACAGCGAGGGAAAGGTCAACAATTCCCTTTTTTGCATATATAAATCCGTATGGCTATGTATTCATAGAAAACGGTAGTAGGGAATAATAAAAATAAAGTCTATGGCACGCAGGCTCATTAACATTTGCGAGGCACGTGGCAGGAATGACGCTACTCAGTTGCTCCCCAGTGCCGCATTCGGCTTAACCAAATTGATTTTCAGCCGGGGCCAACAAAACAATCTGAAACACAGTAAAGTTTTTGGTAACTTGAGGTTTCCATAAAGGTTTAAAAATTTTTGAAAAACTTTAATCGTTTATCTATATTAAAGCATTTTATTTAAATTTTTAATTTAATTTAATTTTGAGAATTTCCAAGCCTTTTTTTCTCGGTGATGGTCTCTATACAACATGTAAACATTCCTGAACACAACATTTCACTCAAAACAATTATGAATGAATGGCCAAGAGAAGGCTCAGATCCCGTTACAGAGCAGCTGTTGCTGTTGAGCGTATGTTAGACTTCATGTTGGCCAACAGCCACAGCCTCTTAGCAGCAGAACAGTGGGATAAATCAGTCAGTCAGCCACAAATGATAAGGATGGGAATTTATGAGAGACTTACTACTTTAAAGATTATTACACTACTTATAACCAGCATAATTTAATTTGACCCCTAAATTTCCTTGAGAAGTGTAAATATTTATTTATATATTTATTTTTATTTTTTATATAAACTATTTATTAAAAACATGCTACAGTTAAACATTATTTTTTATATTTCTCATCTAATTATCCTTTATTTATTGTCATTTTGTTTCATTTTTCTTAAAAAATCAACCACTTCTCCATTGTCCGTGGCAGCGTTCAACTGCCTGTGGCAGTGGCAAGTATTTTGATTTTTAGTCCCCCAACAGACGTCGAGGCGAGAACACACGGCCCAAACAGGCGCGCATGTCAGACGAGTTGCTTTCGGTTTTTCGACTCGAGCCATACACGGCGTATACGCGATGCGACCAGCTTTGAGTCAATAAAAATGGTCAGTGGTCAGTGCTGCGATTGTCGCAAGAGATAATGTGTCAATAATTAAACTGGTTAATCGGTGAGGTTCGATCAGTATGTCAACAGAATTTCACCCAAGGAAGGAACTTCAATGTAAGAGCGACAAAAAAAAAAAAAAAATTCAAAAATGTATACTTTTTGAAATTTTAAAACTAAAATAATGGCAACTTATTAAGAGACAAAGAAAAATTAAAAACTAAATGATGTTTCTGCGCCCACTTTTTATACTAAACACAGCCAAAAATATTTGAAAAAAATGTCACAAATAAAAGACAATTAAGAACAAATATAAAATGGAAATTCATCAACTTTATTTAATCAAAACTAATTTAATAAAATACAAATGTCATTAAAATGTGAAAAAGAGACCAAAACACCTACATAAATGCAAATTAAATAAATTCAAATCATATCACAAGAAGAATAACGAATTTAAATTTTACCAACAAAGCCAGAAAGGCAGACACGTTGTTCGACATTCGAGTTGTCATAAGCCGGAATTCAGAGCGGATTGCATTAGGAAAGTTATGTCTGTTACTTCTCGAATTTCCCCGGGGCACTTGGGATGCACGTGAATACCATGCCGATAGATTTTCCCGTTCCGGGTCGTATTTTGCCGCGTTTGTCAACGCCGTTTCCCCTCTGGAAATTCTATTTGATTTGCATATTGCTACCTGTCTGAGTTCCAGAACACACGAACGTGCGTGAAAAGTATAAAAATATATAAAATAGGATATAAAATATAAAAAGCCCTCATCCCCAGCACCCTGGAGCGGGAGATGGCGCACAAAACGTGATAAAATAAGCGGAAAAATAGCTGACAAGCGTCCGCTGTCCGAAAAAAATGAAAACATTTACGTCGAAAACAAAGAAAATTATCTGACCAGATGCCAGGTGCCCTCTTGGCCGTACGCCGTTGGCCGTTGGCCCCTTGGGAAAAGCACGGGTCGCCACTGACAAGTGACAGTTTGTTTGTTTGCCGGCCGCGAATAACGTGGTCAGGTCCGTCTGATACGGGCCGCCTAATTTGGCTGACGCTTTTATTGTTTGCCCATGGACATGGCGTCATTATCTTTGGTATTTTTATGCCTTCCTTTAGCCGCTCTTGTCTGCGTTTGTTTACACGCACTTTTAACGTGTTTATTCGGCCGTAACGCAAACTAATTGAAACACACCGGGCGTATACTTATTGTAATGCCCGGGGCGTGTCACGTTCGCCTGGCAATGCATCGCCTCGCAATCAGTGAGCGCCTTGAAATCCACTCACGTGCAATTGCAGTGTCTCTGCCACGCCTCCTGCCGTTTGCCTGGCTTTCACTTTCTGCTTTTACCACGGTACTTTGAGGCTGCCGTCTGTCGTTTGGCACTCTATGCCAGCCCAGGCATAACCCAGCTGAAACAACAGCGCACTCCTCCACCTAGAGCCGTAGTCATCACCATCCGCCGTAGTCGCGGCTCGTGAGTACGGGTTGAGTGAGTGAGTGCCATGGGCGGCAACTTGTTTACCTGCCTGTGTTTTAATGAAATGCAAATGCAAACACAAGCCGTGAACTACCATGGGTGGGAAGCCATAAAAAGTGTCTTCAAAATTGGTCAGGTTAGGCTGCAAGTCTGTTAAAAGGGTTTACAAAATTCTACAAATTCTTTAAAATGTCCTTTATATTACAATAATTTAGTAAACTTATAATCCGAAATTTTTAGCATCGCGTCAAGAAACAACTTGCTTGCTTACACAAGGCTGGGAATAAATATACATACATAGAAGACCTAAAGCTTGTTTATAAATATTCCATGGTACATTACCTGTACAGCCAACCCCCAGCCTCGTACAGGTAATTTTTCTTGGCCCCGTCTGCAATGGCACTTAGCCGTAATGGGGTTACTGCCAAGGAGTCGCATTCGTTTTCCCGCCGTCCCTGATTTGCTACGCAAACACTTCAATTTTCATGACAGACGACAATTTGCCACAATTGCACATTGCAGTGCAATTAGATTTAATAAATTTTCCAAATCACATTTATCTCGCGGCGTGTGTTCTATTAATTTTATATTTATCATAATTTTATTCATGTTAGACTTGAGTTTGATGAGCTGGCTCACCCAGGGCATAAATAAATTGGCAAAACATTTCTTTACGACCGAAGGCTTTGCTTCTGGGGCGCTCAGCCCCTTGCTGGGCATTAAGATGACTTTTCCATCGAGGCCATAAAACAGATTTGGGGACAATTTCCAGAAAAAAAGGAAAGAAAATCCACGGATTGGCCACTATTGAGCTTGCTGAAATGCGCTGGATTTTGGTTTAAAGTGTCATTTGTGCATATATTATATTTATGACGATGCATTAAACTAAATACTCGAAGGATGGGGAAGGAATCGAAGGTGTGGCAGCGTCAATGGGACGTGACAAACTTATGAAAAGTGCTAAAACATGTTGGCTTAAGCGGCCCTTTTATGTTGCGAATCAAAAGCTGATGGTTAAGTCGTAAATGGCACCCGGACATTAAAGTCTCTGTAGACGAAGTTTCCGTAACAAGTTCATCAAAGAAAGCGAGAGAAAGAGACTTTAATTATGCAATGACTTTCAGTATATAAAACATTATTCTAAGACAAAGCTGGATATTATTGTTTAATCAAAGCTAAGAACTTGTTTAATTTGTTGAACTTTTATTCGAATTAAATTTTAAGTACAACCCATTTCGGATGCAGCTTTAGTATTTTCTTAGAGCGGGAAACCCATATCCACAATTTGCTTAAGCTTGACTCTAAAAGTTGAAAACTTTTCCAATTCACTTAGTTCATTAACTTGATTCATCGGGAAGTGAGTTTGGCAACTCCAGAAATGGTAATCAACTGGCATTGATTGCTCTCTTTTTTGGCCACTTCTTGGATGTCTTGACAGCCCCAAGTTTGGCTTTGGATTGCAGTTACTCATTGACCTTGGCACAACGAATACTTTTGGCCAGCCCCAGCGACAACCAACTCTTTGGCAACATATCACTCAACTCAAGTTTTCGTCCCCTTGCCGAAAATCCCAGTACCGAGCCCCTAGTTGCCATGAATAACTTGTGAATTTCTTTGAAAATGACTCGCTCAAAGGAAGAGAAAGGAGAAAGTTTCCTTTGGCCGCGTTTGATATGCAGAAAAGGTCGCACAACACTTGAATTTAATTAAAAAAGATTTTATGCTCTAAACTTTTAAGCTGCAAAATCTGCTCGGGTTAGCTGCACTCCTTAAATATCCATTATGCGGCTTAATCAAAATTAATTTACAAGTTTGGTCAGGCGGCAAACATAATCATTATGTGCTTACAAATATTCCCCCCGATTTATGCCGATAACTCAATTCGGCTTCCCCCATTTTTGTTCCCACAACGATACATTATTCCGACGCCTTGCCGCTTTTTCATTAATTTATTACGGCCAGAGGCGACTGATTTCGCTTTAATTCAATTTATTCACCCATATACATTGGATCGGACTCGGATACTATAACACCACCATCGAGAATTCGTATTTATTTCATGCACACGGATGCCAGGGCTGACGACAGCCCATGGGCCCAGGACATATCAGGACAAAGTCACTTAACTGCTTATCTCTCTGGATCCATCGTCGGAACTAAGCCAAATCAGGCTTCGAAATGGAGTGGGCGTGGCTGCTCCGTGTCTGTTTCTGTAACTGTGACAGTGTGTGAGTGCCTGTGGAGTCACGCATTGGGTATGTATGCACGACAAATTCATTATAATTTTGGGCTCCCCCAGAATCCTCGACAACTTGAATTTACCCGCGTGCGTGCCAAGACATACTGCAAACGAATTTCCGGCTCTCTCTGCGGTTATATTGGTAACCCACACACACCCACCCATATACAGGCACTTGCTGATCCAATATGAAATCAGTTTAAATGCGCCCCAAAGTGTGGTTCCTGGCTTATGATTACAAACGTTGCCGACATTCAAACGGATGCCTTAGAGCTAAGGTTTTCTATTTTTGGATAAAGGTTATTTTTAAATATAATCTTTTCACAAGATTTAACATTGTATTTTTTATCATCTAAAGTAGAAATGATACTGTTGAACTTCCATTATATTTTTTCAATTGCATAATTTTTCATGGAATAAATATTTTATCCAATAACTCATTTCATACATTATTTATTTTTATTTCCGAATAGCATTTAAATGACGACAATGAAAAACCATTGTTATGTTTAAAATATTCAATTTCAAAATGGCGGTAATAAATAGTGCAATAAATAGTGAAATAATTCTTTTGTATTATAAAACAAGAACAGGAAAAACAATTCTAATAGATACAGATCATCTGATGCTTTTTTAAATACACATTTATTTAAAGGCCAGAAAAAGGTATGAAATTATTCTTTATTCGGGGCACACATTGCCCTTTAGCAATGGCCAAAAAAAAAATTCTTACTCCTTATGCAGGAACAGAAAAATATGTATAAAATCTTGCTCGAAATTTAAGCCTGAGTTTTCTCCACTTTCTGTTTTTTTTCTGGAAGCATCGGACCTGAAAAGGAACCCAGTTGCCTGTTCATGTGTGTAAGCGGGGAGCATGTGTATGAGTGTGGCATTATGTGCCCTGGCATTTTTATGGCACTTTAACTTTATGTTGAGTAATTCCCGGCTGAAAGGCGAGAGTCAAGAGCGAATGTAAGTGTGGCCAAGACCATGAGGGCCGTTTTCTAGGGGCTATTGAATGGGCGACGAGGCCTTGACAGCGGCTATTGAATTTATTAATTGCTTAATCATGATCCGGTTCGCAATCGTTCACCTTTGCTCTTTATTGAGGATAACTGTGAGTGCAGGTGACAAGTTATTTTTTTTTCTTTTTTGAAAAGAAAATAATTAGTGTTTTTATAAAAACTTTGGGTCTTCAAGATCTTCTTTGAATGATAGGATTAAAAAACAAATGACTTTGTTTAATTAAATGTTATTATTTGCTTTAAAATATATCATTAGCAAACTCCATATTATACTCGCATTTAAGAATAAATTTCAGGTCAAAAAGGCCTACGCGTTCCCTTCGGTACTTGGCCAACTTAACAATCCGCAGTGCGACGTCGTTAACGAAGGCATCCGCAATCTTGGCTAATATATCGTAGGCCTGATCATCCAACGAAATACACAAGTCGATTTTCTGCACAAACGCATTTAGGTTGGTCCTGGTGATAATCTTCAACAAGGGAAAATCTGTCCAATTAATTTGACTTAATTATCAACACCTTACTCACTTCGTAGCTGCTGCCCAGTCCCGAGCGGCTATCCCTCTTGTCATTGAACAGCGGAGTGTCGATGGAGCTCTCACAGCTAGACTCATTGGAGCTATCCGTTGATCTGGTGGAGACGCGGCTTGATTTACTGGACGAATTGTCGCTGTCATCGCCGAGGGCCAAGGACCAAGCGTCTTGGTTCATTTCGATGTTAAAATTAATTCAGTCCTTGGTAATAGTCGTGTTAGACTTTTATGGAACGATGGCTAGTACTAATTGAAAACTATAAGGCGAATGCATAAAAACCATTGCCTACTTTTCTGGGTTTTACGGCAGTAGAAATAAAAGCGATTTAAAGAGCAGTTTAATAATCTTTATTGAATATAAATGTAACCCATTCTTAACGTTTTCAATTTGATTTGCAGAAACCCAGCTGCGAGAGCCAGACTGAACTCTTCTTGCCTAGGGGTCTGCCATAAATAACCAGTTTAAGTCGCGCTCTCTGCACCTGAACGCTTGCCATTGTTTGCCGCCGCATTTCCCTTTTCAGCCCTTTTCCGCTGCGGCTTTTCCTTCGTCCTTCGTCCTCTGGGACGGCTTTTCTCCGCCATTACTACTACTGCTACTTGTGCTCGGTCTTGCGCTTTTGATTTATGTCCTGCTCCGTTTGGCGTTCAGTGTTCAGCGTTCAGCGCTTTTCATTTCACATGCGCTGCTTCTAAATAAATATCAAAAAGCAACAAATTGCGGCCATGCCATAAACGACCTTAGCCTAAGCCCAAGACGCGGCCAGGCGACAACGGCGTCGGCGACGCTTAATTTTATGCCAGGTGGGTCGGGGCAAGGCCACAACACGTGCCCAGGTGTCCTGCCGGCCTATTATGCCGTTTGTTCTTTTCACTTACTGCCAAGGCACAGTGGGAATAAGCCCCAAACGGACCACGGAATATTTACTGTTTTTTTGAGAGTCGGGGAAGTTATTGGAACAGAAGGATTTTGATATTAAAGCTCGTGAAACATAATACTCTTTAATATATTAAATACAAACTAAGCACATTCTTAAGATTTAATAACTAATTATTTCTCTTGAATGAATTCAATCTTCTTTCTTTACCTTTTTATTCCATTATAGCCAATTTTTTCCATTCCAAAAATTGTATGACATTTATTTTTACTGTGTTTTGCACACTTTCGATGTGCTCCTGGGTGTCCTCGGTGTCGTCGGCTTAATAAAGTCGGCTACTTAAAGCGAGCGACAATGACATTGTGCGTATCTTGCCAGTCAGCGGGGGGAGGTCGCCTTTTGGCCATGTGTCACACATCCGCATCCGGTGTTGGCATTGGCATTAGAAACCCTGGCCCACACTCAGCCCTCACCCTTCTCACAGCCCACTCATTCCCATCTACTCTGTCGTTTGCCGTTTCCGGCATGCGACTCTTTTATATCGTCGCCTTTATTTGCTATGTGCACTTTTCTGGCTCGCTCATTGTTGGCCTCCTCCATCCGTGGCCCTCTGCCTGATTTTTGTTTCATATTTTTCTCTGTGTTGGCAAAAAGCGCTCGCCGTTTTTCTTTAAGTGGCTCAAGTACCATAAATTTCACTTTGTCAGTGTCTTTAATCGCCCAAGCCCCAATCAGGCAGAGTTATTCTCAGAGCTTGAATAGAATTTACTTGGCTTTGACCGTGTTTAGACTGTTTTGATGTTTCAATTGGTTAAGAGCTTAGGTAACTTATTTTTATGGTAAAATATAAACTTAAAGACTTCAAGTCAAGCTTATCAAGCTTACCGAACTCGTGCCATTAAATTCCCTTTTGGGAAAAGTTCTCTTAAAGCTCAGTTTGAATTTCACATATCATAACATTAACGATGTTTATGAACTGCTAATTTGCTGTCGCATTCACATAAAAATGACAGCCTAAGTTCCCAAAATGTTTGAATTAATCACACATTTGTCAAAATTATTCAAATGTCTTTTGCGCCGACGAGTGAAAGTGTGGGTGAATGTGATTGTGAATGAGGATGAAAGTATGTGAATGTGCGCCGACATGAATAGTTAATACAAATGCCTGGGCCTGCGGTTGCCTCTGTTTGTTCCGCCTACTTATGTATTTTTTTTGTCATGGTAGAGAGAGGGGCAGAAGGAGCATGTGTCTGTGTAATAAAGCTAATGAGTTTCTGGCATGTCTGGCAGAGTGTCGAGACTGAGAGCCTAATTCCCAGGCAGGGGGAACATGCACTCACATTCGGTGGCACTCTCCCATTAGGAATTGTTTTATTTCACATGATTATGGCATTTCCTTGTTACGCACTTCGTAGAGACACACAAGCAGCGGAGCCTATTCTTAGATGAACTTTAGCATTGCGTATACGACACAGTGGCAGTGTCTGAAATTAAGTAGACGCCGCATATCCCAAAGTTAAATTGATTTAAATCGTGGCAGACACTCGGCGCTCCACACAGACAATTAAACAGAACTTCATCTGCATCAGAATCGCGTTAATGTTTCATAAATGAAAAAAGCAACGCATTTAATTTCTTTTCCCATTTAAGTTTTTAATTACACTTAACTGGCGGGGTGTAAGGCGGCAGAATCAGCGAGAGCAACAGGAGTGGAAATGGAAATAGCGATGGCGACGGTGACGGCGACGGTGACGGGAATGGCAAGAGTCGTGGAGGAGAAATCCTTTAATAGTCGACGCGCCATTTTGTCGCCAGCATCTCGTCGCTTAATCCTTTCGCGGCATATTTTCCAACGCGCCGTGACTTAATGAGGCGCATTTCCATGCCGAGCACGCACCTCGTCTTTTCACGGTCGAAGCCAAACAATGAGGATCCTTCCGGGAAAAATGTGGCTCTAAGCCAACAGACCCACACACATACACCTCTTATCAGTTGCATTTACGGTGGCTCAGGCCAAAACGCTGAAACACATTCGGCTTGGCTCACTTTCAGCTAATGTCCCAAAAGTTTTGTGCCAAAAGTACACAACAGTCTCTCGCTTAAAATAATTCTGGAAATTTAATATACCAACAGGAAATTAATTTCATTTCCGGCTTGAAATAATCGCATCAAGTCTGAATTACCTTTGTACAGTTTGCTTAAATAACCATCAGAATTTGCATTTATTCAGAATTCTTATTAATTTATTTCCCCTTTTCATAAAATCATTAAATTCTTTGAAATTATAAGAAATATGCCTGATTCAATGAACTGTAAGAAATATATTAAGGAAAATTAATTCGATTCAAATGAAATTCTGGGAAAATTTATTCAAAACCCAGGCTCAAGGCAAAGTGCAGTAGCTACTCATTTTTTGTGTATTTTGGTAAATTGAGCGACTTGACTGACAGAAATCAAACAAGACTGCAGGCTGCATATTCATTTCTTCGCATCTCGTTCATGGCAAACAATTTACCTAGGGTCTTAGCCAGTGTTATTTGTTTACTTTGCTTTTCTCGCTGGCTTTCAGACTTTTCAGCTGCCAGTTGTTTTCCTTTTAATATAATTTCATGGCTTAATGGACCAGCTAAAGAAAGGAAAGGTCAGGAATATGGCAAGAGTTGCTAGATTAATTTTTAGTTCTTTGGTAACCCTTTTGAGAAATAACCAGATAGTTTCTTATCTTGCATACTAAAATTGCAAAAAAATTAATTTCATTTCCTTGATCCTTTCCCGTTATTCGTGTTTATTTGCTTTGGCCAAAGGGCAGTGGGACTCGTGGATACAAGTTTGTGGCCACGTGAAAGCCAATCCAAGCACTCAAAGCGAAATGAAGTGTTAACACCAAAAGCGCCAAGAGCGGTTGCCAACTGTCGCATCCGGTGCGATTGTTGGCCATCAGAGTGGGCTGCAGGGCAACCAAAACACGAAAAAAAAACCAACAGGAGTGCCGAAACAAAATCGATGGCACTTGAACAATATGCAAGCTAAAATCCCCGACGTTGGTGGAGTGACGTTCCGGAAATCGGTGGTGCCACACCGAATTCTCAACGACGTACCCCACAATCATCATCCGCATGCCGCATTTCGATTTCCCTGAGGTGCCGGAAAGGCGTGTCAACGCGTTCCGGTGTCGACCCATTTTGCATATGCAATTTGATTTCAATCCCACTCAATCTCACTCTATGCCATTTGTCTCGCCTCACTTCCGCAGGTGGTCAGTCATTCGGCAATTCACGTGATGTGATTGGAAATAAGCAACGCTAAGTGCAACTAGCTGCCATTGCCAATTTGCGTGTTGGGCTTTAGCTTTGATGGCTCGCCTCAATTGCCATTTCGATTTGGAATCCGATTTTGATACCGTCGACAAATAGTACAAGTCCCGTGACCCGTGAGCAATGTTCGATTGAATGCAGCGAATACAGCAACGACAACAGCAACAACTGGCATCGCAGCAACAACAGCAAGAGCAACACTAGCACCAGCAGCAACCGCAACAAGTGCAACATGTTGACCACACACCATCTGCACCACCTGCACCACCATCGAGGCAGCACGGCAGTGGAGCTGGACAAGATAACGAATCTAAACACGGTAAGTTTTTCAAAATACAAACACTTCAAAGCTTTGAAAAATAATTAAGTTCGGTTTTTTGTGTATTTTTTCGTACATTTCGGAAATTTATAGGGGATCCGCCAGAAAATTTCGAAAAAAATCTAAAAAATATTTCGTTCCTTTAATGCAGATTGATGGAGAATCTATCCACAAATCGTTTAAGGTACTCCGCTTCGGAATCGGGTGATTATTGGCAAAGTTATAGCCTTCGCTGTGGCTCATATTGTCCATTTCATACATTTTCGGAAATTTGAAGGGGATCCCCCAGAAAATTTCGAAAAAAATCTAAAAAATATTTCGTTCCTAGGTTTTAATGCAGATTGGTGGAGAATCTATCCACAAATCGTTTAAGGTACTCCGCTTCGGAATCGGGTGATTATTGGCAAAGTTATAGCCTTCGCTGTGGCTCATATTGTCCATTTCATACATTTTCGGAAATTTGAAGGGGATCCCCCAGAAAATTTCGAAAAAAATCTAAAAAATATTTTGTTCCTAGTTTTTAATGCAGATTGATGGAGAATCTATCCACAAATCGTTTAAGGTACTCCGCTTCGGAATCGGGTGATTATTGGCAAAGTTATAGCCTTCGCTGTGGCTCATATGGTCCATTTCATACATTTTCGGAAATTTGATGGGGATCCCCCAGAAAATTTCGAAAAAAATCTAAAAAATATTCCGTTCTTAGGTTTTAATGCAGATTGATAAAGAATCTATCCACAAATCGTTTAAGGTACTCCGCTGTGGAATCGGATGATTATTGGCAAAGTTATAGCCTTCGCTGTGGCTCATATGGTCCATTTCATACATTTTCGGAAATTTGAAGGGGACCCCCAGAAAATTTCGAAAAAAATCTAAAAAATATTTCGTTCCTAGGTTTTAATGCAGATTGGTGGAGAATCTATCCACAAATCGTTTAAGGTACTCCGCTGTGGAATCGGATGATTATTGGCAAAGTTATAGCCTTCTCTGTGGCTCATATGGTCCATTTCATACATTTTCGGAAATTTGAAGGGGATCCCCCAGAAAATTTCGAAAAAAATCTAAAAATATTTCGTTCCTAGGTTTTAATGCAGATTGGTGGAGAATCTATCCACAAATCGTTTAAGGTACTCCGCTGTGGAATCGGATGATTATTGGCAAAGTTATAGCCTTCGCTGTGGCTCATATGGTCCATTTCATACATTTGCGGAAATTTGAAGAGGATCCCCCAGAAAATTTCGAAAAAAATCTAAAAAATATGTCGTTTCTAGGTTTTAATGCAGATTGGTGGAGAATCTATCCACAAATCGTTTAAGGTTCTCCGCTGTGGAATCGGATGATTATTGGCAAAGTTATAGCCTTCGCTGTGGCTCATATTGTCCATTTCATACGTTTTCGGAAACTTGAAGGGGATCCCCCAGAAAATTTCGAAAAAAATCTAAAAAAATATTTCGTTCCTATGTTTTAATGCAGATTGGTGGAGAATCTATCCACAAATCGTTTAAGGTACTCCGCTTTGGAATCGGATGTTTATTTGCGAAGTTATAGCCTTCGCTGTGGCTCATATGGTCCATTTTATACATTTGCGGAAATTTGAAGGGGATCCCCCAGAAAATTTCGAAAAAAATATAAAAAATATTTTGTTTCTAGGTCTTAATTCAGATTTATAGAGAATCTTTCCACAAATCGGTATTCCGCTTTGAAATGTTTGATTGTATACATAGGAAAACATGTATGGAGAGGAATCATATGGCAAAGAGCTCTAAACTATTTTAAATTGACTTTAGCTAATGTTTGTATGTGTACTTTATTTGTTGGTTATTGTTAAAGCAATAAGAGCTTTTAACTTCTTTTAGACTTTAATGAAAAAGCAAGAACGAAAACATTCTGGAAAATTCGAAACCAACTTAGAATGCGTCTAAGTCTTCAAGCCCCAAACAATTCCAAATTGAGTTTTGCTTTGCAAAGGATTCTCTCTCTCATCCAATTTCCGCAAGCCGGTCTCCTGGCTGTGACCTTTTTTGATAGTGTGGACTAATTTGACAGCATTTAAATGCCAACTCTAATGAATTTCAATTTCGATTGCCATGTTAAGTCCGACGGAAAATTGCAAAAGGAGCTTAAATCGATGGGTAGAACTAGGACTTCTGGAGGAGATGCACTGAGCAATTGATTGCAATGACCTTCAATTAGAAGCAGGCAGGACTATTTTTTGCAGTGCAACTGCTCAGCATCCGGTTCAGAAATATTGTAACAAGATTAAATGGATGGCGTGCATACGAAGGAAGTTAGTTAAAAGCAGACCGCCTGCTGCATTAACTGCAGATGGAAATTATTGAAAGGATTGCATTAAGTGCAGGGCGGGCAACAAAGGCTGAGGCGACCGCCCACTTCCATTTACAACGTGACTCTCTCTCCTCTTGACCATACACAAAAGTTGTCTAGCTGAAAAATGAAAAATGTTTCTCTAAAAAAAAAGAAAATAGAGCTGGCAGCGAAAAGGAAAATGTGAAACACGTTTATTGCCATTCATTATATTCTCGCGAGCTGTTGCGCAAAGTAATGAAGCACTTTTATACGAGGCAGCAGTTCTCCTTTTACAGTGCACGCACACAGCCACGCCCACTGCACCGAGAGAAAAATATACTATACTCTCTATGCTTTGATACCAAGGTGTGTAAAACAAGTACACTATTTTTCGGAAAGTGTTCCTAAGAACCGAAAAACGAAAAGGACAGTGACGGGCGTTGATGAGACGAAGAAGCGACTTGCCGCCCACCACTTTCCGGTTCGGTTCAAGAAAAATGGCTCGCTGTCTTGGCCAAGAGTGAAAATAATAATTTGGGGTATGGCCACTGCAGCTACTGCCATGAGACTGCTGGAAAAAGTGCGTACGAGTGAGGGAACTACAACCAATTTTCATTAAGTGAGCACTCGCACTCTCAAGAGCCGCCAATACGTCTTCATTAATTTTGGAATAATGTATGGCATGTTTGTGTAGACATTTAGTCGACCCTGTCACTGAGCTTGCCTCCTGTGATGGTCCTGGCATTTTGGGGTTTGGCTGGCCACAGGACCTCAATAAAAACTGAAAACTTGTACTTAACTTTAGCAGCGAACATTTGTCTCTCTCCTGGCCGGAGTGTGGGCGGATGTATGTCGGGTTTGAAGGGCAAACGAAAACGAGAAACGAAATTTTTGGGGGCAGAAAGTTGCGCAATAAAAAGCGTTGGCCAAACAAAAGGATCGTGTTCAAGGTCCAAGGATTCTCTGTCTTGTGTCATTGCCAATATATAGTCGCAAGGTATCCGTCGATTGTCAGTCAGTTTGATTGATAATGTAAACCGAGCAGCTAAACACCCACTTTCTACCCCTATGCCATCCAATCCCATCATCGTAATCGTCGGCCATTGAGACCACTATGAGCCCACTCCTCGTCAAGGAGCAAATAAAAGTCCGCCGTCTCGTTCTAGGCAAGCATCTTATCGATTTTGCGGATTACAAGTTTTCGTTATCACTTACGCAAATGGCCCTAATGGTCGATGCCGAACCCGTCTAGATGGGAGTGCTCTGAAAAAAATGGTTTTGGTAATAGTTCTAGGCCTGCCATCAAAGGTTGGCTTAAATATCAATCTAAAATAAGCCTTAAATTCAAACTTCTCATACTATTTACTTAGTACTGTTAAAAAAATATTAAAGATTCCTTCAAACTTTCTTTCTTTGTCTAAACTGCGTATGATTTCGACCATGTAGTCAGTCCGTTCCAAATTGCTTTCCTGCCACATCTGGAGTTGAGGTCAAAGGTTGCGGGTCGGAGGGCTTTCATCACCGCTGCTTTACCGCAGCTGCGATTCGATGGTTGTTCTAGGCACTTCTCTCTTTTATTGTTGCTCCTGGCCAAGTAGGTTTTTGTGGCTCACACCGCCCACTTCACTGCCTCCATGGCACCATTCGATATTGGACGTGTGTGTTGCACTGCCCCGCCATTGTATTTCTGTCTCTAGTTGCAAGTTGCTGTCTACTGAATCCGACAGAGAAAGAAATTTTTTACCAAATATGCATATCATCTGATATGTTTTATTGAAATTATAATGGAGACTAAGCCTTGGGTATGGCTATAAAAATAAATTACTTAGTTTTAATAATTTACTAAAATTTAAAGTAATTTGTTTCAGTGTTCAAAGTACTGTCCAGCAGTGTTACACTGTAACGAACCTTTGTTTAGCCCGTGGGGGGTCTTGGTGCAAGCTGTAAGGAAGGGGCATTGCCGGGGTCCTGGGGTTGCAGGATTGCTTGTCGACTGTTGAATGGACAGTTGGCTAGTTGGCTGCATCCTGCCACGGCCTTCGAGACCCTCCTGCCACCTGCCCCCTGCCAGTTCGATTGTAATTATTCTACAGTTCAACTTGTTGGTTCGCTGGCTAATGCGCTTTGCCATTGCACTTTGTTAGTTTTACCCCTTGCCCTGGTAATTGTTCTGCTTCCACACTATATGGGTGTTCAGGGTGCTTCTGGACATCAACAGATGTGAAATGGGCATTAGCTGCAGCGCGTTATCAAAGTTTTTGCAGCTCGTGTTGCAAATGGTGCGTGCTATTTATTAGCTAAATGGACTTGCCCCATATGCGAGGCGTGGCACATCAGTAATCTTGTGCGAATTCTCGCAAAAAAACTGAGAGTAATTGAACATAAAAGAAGTGCAAAACTAAATGTAACAGAACAAAAGCATACACAGGAATTGAAATTAACTTTTTGTGGAGGATCATTAAGCACTTTAATCAAATTAAGAACCATTAGAAATCCGCATTAATTTTTGAAATGATTCCTCGTAGGGCCTGGGCTTTGACCATTGTCATTCCATGGCCCTGAGCGAATGCATATGCAAATGTATCTAAGGCACTGTCGCCCACACAGATATACTCCCCCACACTTATGCAGAATCCTTGCATTACAAACGTCGTCCTTCTGTCCGACTGTCTGTCTTTGTCTTTGTCGGTTCCTCTTCTTTGTATTGCAATTTTAATTTCCGCTTTCACTTTGTCTAGATTCAGTTTTACTTGTCGTCTTCTTCTTTTGTGTTTTAGTTTCCTTCATTTCATGGTGCACCCCTTTATCCTGCCACCGTGCCACCAGTGCCCCCACTCCTTATCTTGCTTCTCTCCCCGCGGGCTGTCTTTGTCTTGGCGTTGTGGCATTTGCGTTTTTGCTGATTTACACATTTGGGCAACGAGCTGAGTTTTTCCCCCACGGTCGCCACAGCACGTATGCTGATGCACTGGAAAAAATATATGGGGATAGGGTAACATTTCTCTTGTGAAAAAAATGTATTTGTTGCATTTCGCTCTCTGTATGCAGTGTACGGCGAGTGGCACGTAGAAAGCATTCAGTTGTTAGTATTGTTACAATGCACTCGTAGTGGGCCATCGCCGGCAGCTGTTTTTCAATTTTCCGCCTCAACTGTTAACGCAAAAGTAGTTCAAAGTGGTTGCCAGCATAAGAATAATAAAACAACATTCTCAGTCCAGTGCCGCATGAATATGGATGCCCCATAGAAAATGGGGGTTTCCCTGGCTTCCCCCGGCTCCGGCCACTGGCTTGTTATTATTCTACACGCCACACCATATGCCGGAAGATCTTTTGTACTCCTTTTGTACATATATCGAGCACTTTTTAGCTGGCCATGTTGTTGCCATTAAGCCCTGTTTTCATTACTGGCCAAATAACGCGCCAAAAACGCCCAGGGAATTGAATTTACCTCGGCTCTATATAAATGAATTTCTTTCATACATTCCCGCATCTTTTTGGTCTGTAAGGTGGTTATTTTTTTTGGTGTGGTCAGGTAATTTTCGAAATGTTCTCGGCTTTTTGTTGCTGTTTTTGCACAGGGACTTGACTCTGGTTTAGCACTGGCTCTTATGGCTCTCTTGGCTGTCCCTTTTTATGCCAGCCCAAGGACCTTTGCCCAGGACGAAGACGACAGGCGTTTACGTTTGGGATTTGCATGTGCTGCATGAACTTTTTGCAGTGCCAGTCCGAGTGGGTGTAACACCCACGTCCCCGTATTACCCCCAATCCGCAAAAAGTCTGTTTTGTGTCTTTATATCTGCCGAGATTTAAGCGTCATATAAAATTTATGCGTGTGGCTTTTATGAGCTTATACCTGTACCTTTGCGGCTAAAAGTATGTGCATGTGTGAGCTAGTTGTGTGTATTTTATGGGAGTCACTGTCCTTGGTGCTGGGGCAGAATGAAAAAACTCAAATAATTAGTCAGTAAAGGCGACAGGATTTTGTGACGTCCCTAGTGAGTAGGGACTTGTTAAAGAATTTTGGGAGAAACATTGTTGAAAACCCAGGAGTATTTAAAGTCTAAGTGAAAAGTTATCAAAGCTACAATGTGACGATGCAGAAATACTTAAATTAAAAAAAAAGTATTTAAATGAAATTAAAATCCTTTCTTATTGTTTTGAGGCCTTGCGCCTACACTCATTGGAAACGCCTTCTGCAAAATCCTTTTGTATGAGAAAGCGTTATTTGATTTCTGCTGAAAATTAATCCACATTCCATATCGACTTTCCCTATTTCCTGTCAATATCCAGCTTTCAACCGAGCCAGCAAACAAAGCCCGGCTGAAAAAACAATGAATCCAATAAATTTGGCACAGACTCGGCCAGCAACAGCTGATGGTGGAAAAGTTTTGCCTAGGCCCACGCCCCATGCCCCAAGCCGGGGGAATGATTACAAAACCATGACCCCGCCCACTCGCTCCGCCCAGCTCAGAAAAGTTTTTGGGAAATATCGTACTCGCTGTGCTCTCAATAAGCAATTTGGCTAAGTGCCTCTCCTCTTCCGGCTGTGTCTTTAGCCCCCGTGTCTGTGGCATTGTCAAGCCAATGCCATCAATATGACTAATCATGCATATATTTCATAAAGCTGTAAATCTCCAGTCCTTTGGATCGTCTTCTTTATCCGCAGTCGCACAGCTGTCGGCCCCAAAATTGAGTCAAGCCACAAAATTCACTTTGCAATCGCTGGGGGCGTTTCAGGCGTTACCAGCAGTTCGGGCGTTCGAGGATTATTAAAATTACGCATACGCCGCGTTTTAAATGAAGTGCTCCATGGTGGGGTGGTGAATGAGGGGGAATGAGGTTGCCAGAGTCAACCATTAATATTTAAACGTGCCTCTGAAAGTGTACGTGGGCGTGGCATGCCAATGTGTGTGTGAGGGATTTGTGGCATTTAGCTATATTTGTGTGAACGGAAAATTAAGCATATGACTGACTGTAACATTAACTTGGCGGAGGTTGTAAAATAAAATCAAAATTAATTAAAAATAGAGAAGGTTGTGGCAGTTTCTATATCTAGAACAGGCTGTTATAATTTGTTATTATAAGTAGCGACACACTAAGATACTAATTATAAGATACTAATTCCCTATCCAATACACACTCCAAAAAATTGAGTAAAATATTCATGGAAAAGTTTACTTCTTTAAAATGTGGCTATAAAATTAACTTACAGCCAAAAGCATGGAATATCGTCAATAATAATTGACTTAATATACTTTTCAGCAACAGCTTGACTAAGCTCCCACCCCCTGCTCCTGCTAAAAAGGGCTAACCAAACCCAAAAGCCATACAAAATGAGCCTGAATAATCCTTTGCATTGCAGGCATTTTAATTTTTATGAGCTCGATTCGGCCGCAGGCGACGACAAGGCAAGGCAAGAAGAAAGGAATTAGGGCTCGATTGCTCGATTCATTTGCCGCCTCCGTTGCCATTTTGGCAATGGGCCGTAAAACGAGAAGCTGCTGCTGTTGCTGTTGCTTTTGCCACCTCGGTCTTATCTGGCTAGAGAATTTCCGAGAAATTTGTTGGCTGAACGAGCCGGTTGGGCAAACAAATATACTTAGGATGCTGCCTGCGGTTGTTGGAGAGGGTTGTGCATAAATTAAAATACGTAATGTGCTATGTGCCGGGCCTAATAGAGCTCTCGCATAAATTAAGCATCCGTTGCTGTCGATGACCCTGATAAATATATATAAACCCCTACTAAAGATGTGTTTGTTTGCCCATCTTTCGTCTTTCAGCTCATCGTGGAGATCAACAGTCATGTGGCGCTTTTCCGCGATATGCTGATACACGTTGGCCAGGCCAAGGATTGCCCGGAACTGCGTGAGAAGATCCGCAAGTTGCGGCGCACCTGCGTGGAGGCATTCAAGCACACGGCTCAGATACTCATGCCCCAGGTCAAGAGGTAAGCGAAACAACACATATTATACACATACATAGGGAGAAAATATGGACTAATTCTTACACCTGTCACTTTCCCTTTCAACAAATCATTAAAAATACATAAAAAATTTTTATATAAATTGTACCTTTCTTGGTTTACCAGTCTTAACTATATATTTTTTTTTCGGTGTAGCCCTAACGAAAGGCCCAAAGGGATAGATAGCATTAACATAAACATAAACAGCAACGTGTGTGTGACATTTAGGGTATTTCCTTTATGTGCCCTTCGTCCTTTACGGATAAATGAGTGTGGGGATGGATGTTCCTTATGGAAATGTATGCAAATCTAATTGCAGTCAAATTTGGTAGAGAAAAGCGTGAGAAAGGTGGAACATAAATAACAATTTGTTGGATTCGAATTGAAGCCAGGGGCCTTCAATGCTCTCAAACTGAGTTAGTGGCTGAGTTTGGAATTCAATTTCAGAGTGCTGTATAATTTATCAGAACTCGCAGGGAGCAACCCGCCAAACAAAAGTTAATAACCTCTTTTTTTTGCTCTCGAGTCGCTTCAGGGGTTTCCAGCATATTTGGTAATTTTTTCATTAAATCTCATGAAAGGTATGAGAGTGTGTTGTGAAATTTGATGGACAGAGTTACACAAAATTTGGGTTAAAAATCGTTTTTTTTGTGGCAGGTTTAAGCTCCACCTGCCCGTCAATATGATATAGATTTCCTCAAGAGAGCACAGCTGGATGGCTGTCTGGCTGAAAGGCAAAAAAACTTTAACATCCCGTTTGACTTTTGGGGCTTGTCTGTTTACCGACTTCAATTTATTGATTTATGCCCGGGTTGAAGGCACAGAATGTGGCCAAGATGAAATCCCATGTGGATGCCACACATGTGCCATTATCGCACCCCAAAAGCGACAACATAAACTTTTTTTTGCTTTTTTTTTTAAACAAGTTGAACCGTCAACTTGAAAAATTCCTTTACAATACATAAAATATTTGTAATTTCAGACACACAACCAATAGAACGTGCTGTTTCAAGTCAGGGGTATCTGTCAGAATATTCTTTGTATTTATTATTTTTTGATGCGCTGGGAAGAACTTTTTAAGCACACCACGCTGGCATATGACAATGTGATTTATTATCGAGCAGACGCTTTAAATGTCATTCCGGAGTGGAGAAATGTCAATATAACGAGACGAGCATTCGCATCAGCATCAGCATTTTCCATATGTGCGTATTCGAATTTGCAAAAATGCAGAACGAGAGCTACCGGGCAGGCAACAAAAAACTGAGAAAAAATAAGAAAGAAAGTAAGGAACTCTGGGATCCGGAGACAGTTAAATTGATGATTGGCTGGCAGCAAGCCAAAGACAACGACAGCACAGAGGAGATTTCAATTAATTTTTGCTTTATTGACACAAATGAACGAGTCGACGAGCAGCATCACCCCCTCCGAATCTGAGCGGCCAGGATTTTCAAATGGGCTCACATGGCGTATGAGTGACGACAATGAATTAGCGAAGCGACAGGCTACAAACGCAAAAAGAGGCTGCAGGCTCGACGACTCAAAGTTAAATTGAAAGTAAAAGTTCAATAAAGCAAAAAGTATGCTCGGAAAATGAACAAAACATTGGGGGGAGGAGTACAGTTGGGTGGGATGGGAAGGTAAAGAAAAAGCCAAGGGCGGGACAGGAAAAGCGAAAACTTCGGGCGCAACTTGACAATGACAGAGCCAAACTTTCTGACGGTGCCTGGTTGTTTGTTGCTGTTTTATGTTTTGTAAACACATGCATGACCCATGTGAGACAGCCAAAGTCACAACAACTCGATAGTCCCCGGGAATAAAGTGAAAGTGAAGAAAAAACCAAGGAGGAAAGACAGAGAATGCTTTTCTCGACTTTGTTGTTTTTCCATAAAGAATATTGCATACTCTGAGGGTGGGGATGCTGGAAGACTGTCAGAGAAACGAAAAAAAATTTTAGCCAGAGCGCTTAAGAAAAAATTTTAATTCGGTAAGATAATAAAAAAAAAAGACACAACTTTGTTTGATAAAGTTTTAATGAAGCTTTAAAAAACATTTTTTTGCACTCGGGAAAGACTTTTTCTTACCTATAAATTATATTATTTTTTCTAAAACGCGAAATAGACTTAGGGCTCATTAATCTTTTAAAGATTTTTGATAAAACGTTTTGCCCATTTCAAGTCTTTTCTAATTCTATATTTTAAGGAACCACAAAGTGACAAACAAATTCCTGTATTGTGTGCCCCATTTCAGTGGCTTTCTGTTAGTTCTTTACAAAGCAAACATTTATAATGGCAACTCAAACAGCGGCCGCTAAGTTGGCTTTCCGTATAAATAGTGCCGACATTTAGCATCAACTTTTGTGGTTTCCTTGGCCAAACATGATGACAAAGTTGTGATACCTCTTGGGCCAACCGAATACAAGCTTTCACCAGGAGATGGGGCATTAGACAGCGAGAAAGAAAATCATACTTCTGCATAGGAATACCTTGGAATAGACAGTTTTCCTGGAGCTGTCTTAAGTTATAACCATTTCCATTTTCTTGAGGCGGCAACGGCGGCGGCAGCACTCTGCCAACTGCCTTGAGTGACTGATAGTTGTTTGCCTGTTTGTTTGCCCAGCTCGCACTTACCGACATACATATATATGTACAGGGTACATACATAAATATATAGTAAATATAGTGTTTCCTTGGAGGCGACGTTCGGTCCATTTCGCTGTGTTTGCTCTTGTGTTCCATGTTATCTATCTATCTGTCTATTTGCCAGCGCTTACTTCGCATTTGTTCTGCTGTTTGCCTTGTAGTTATGTGCATTTGTTTGTAGTTGCTAAATTACTGCCGCTGTCCACTGTCTTTGTTTTAGCTGCCCGGCTCCTACTGTTTTGACAGCAAGTTAGTCAACAGCGTCCTCGGGGGATGGACTCGCCTGGGCCCTGTCCTCATTTCCAGTCGTCCACTTGCAGTTGTCGTCATGTTGGCTTTAACGCATTTCCGCTGCAAATAATCCTCGGTCCTCGGTTTCAGCTGTCTTCGTTGCACCCAAAAACACAATCCGACAATTGGGTGAACATACCGCAAGGATCCTGACCTCCGGGGACGTCGCCATCAAAGCCAAAGCCAATCTCATAGACGTCGTCGATGGCGATGTTGTTTGCGGCTATGTGTCGGAAATTTTATGTTTCCTGCAACTGCTGCTGCCAAAGTACAATGGGAAATATATATGAATATTATCAATAAACAATTCAGAATATTATTATATTTCATTTGTTTATTTTACTAAGCTGCATCATTTTATTGCAGCTAGTTTTCAAAACTTTGAGGGCATCCTTTTATGACCGTTCCATCCCATTGTCCTGGCATTACTGCCCCTGCTGGTGCATTGTTTTATTACCCCTGTTGGCCATTTCGTTTATTATTTCGACACTTGATGCCTGTTCCCGGAAGCCAGGCTACAGGCGGTTGCTCTGTGGCCATGTTAGTGAAAATGACAGCAAATTATTGAAGACAACGCCGACAGGGAAATAGGTCAAGTTACGCAATTAAGGAGAGCTCGTCACGTAGCTGAAAACGATTTTTTACATTTTTTCTTCAGAGTAAGGTATAAGGAGAGGTCGTAAACTGCGGCAGTTTTAACAACTTTATACAGCTGCAGTTAATAACTTCGATTGGGCAGACAAAATGGCATCGAGATCCCGATAAAAGCTCCTCAGGAACGTGGTCCTTTTTGGCCCCAATCCCCCGAATCTTTTGTACAATTTTCTCTGAAACATTTTCCTGGGTCCTAGCGAGGGAATAAAAAATATTTCACTGTTATTTGCAATAAATGAATATAACGTCCGAACTGTAATCAAGACCAGCTGCTGACAATGGTCTGCCCATTTTTTTGCGTCCTTCTCTCGCCCTTTTAGTCCTGTTTGCCCTTCGCTCTTTTTATTTTTGGGGTTTTCGGATGCTCTGCAGATTTTGTTTCGCAGCTCAAACTTATTATTGCGATTTTCTTGCTGTTCTGCTGGCGAAAATGACCCACGTTAATGTCCGCGCACCGCAATCAGCCATCCGAACGAGATTCTGCCGCAAAAGGAAAACATCCGGGCTGGGGCATCATTAAAACATTGCTCTCTGCCATTTACAACTTGCAGTTTTTCAAAGAAATCGCTTAGCATTAATTTGATTACGATTTAAGTGTCGGATTTGTTCTTTTTTTATATTCGTATACTGAAATATTAATGGATGAGAGTGCAGATGTTATTAAAAATAAATACGATACACTTTGAATATTATTCAACAAACATAGGAGCCCTAAGCCATAAGTATTCCATCCCCTTGGCTTGTGGATGGAACCCAAATCTAAATCGCTTTAAGCTGAATATCTTGGGGAAAACTCTCAAACGCATACACAGCGCTCCAGATACACCTTGGGGAAGATTAATTTGCAATTTATTTGCTTTAATGTTCCTCGAGGACGGAGGGTGAAATCATAAGACACGGCAACACTTTTAGGACCTTCCCCGAAAAATGTATATTTTTCATTTCCAGCTCCGTTGAGTTTGGGCAATGCAAAAGCAATTTACAAATTGAATTTATTCCCGTGTAGCTGCAAATATGTTTATGGCAATTTATATTTGTATCCCCTCGTCGCCCCTGGAACACCCTCGTAATTGGCCCTGTCTCTGCAGCTTTTGCTGCTAAACTGAAATTAATGTCAACTAAGCAGCAATTTGCAGACCAACTCTAAACTCTGAGTGTTTCCAAAATGAATTATGCGCAGCGACTGTTTCTTGGCCAGAGCTACATGAGAAATGGTTCGTGCAATCACATAAATTATTTTGTAATCGTAATTTCAGTTGAATTAAAACGCTAGTCTGGTGATAATTGCGAAATTAAAAATTAATTTGCAAATATCCAAGGGCAGCTGGCAAGTTTGCTTAAAAGATTACAGAGGAGGAACACAGTCCAAATAAAATAATTTACACAGAAAATACTTCTAGGGTGACCTGTCATTGCGTTTCTATACCAGCAGCTGAACCCAAATACAACAATCGATAGAGGTCCTTAAAAGTCTGTCGGAAACGAATTAGTTTGCCGGCAGTTGATGGCCCATCTCTCCCCAGTCCCAATCCAAAAAATGTCATAAATTCATATAAATTTCATTTCACAATTTCCGCATGCAATTTGGCGTGCCACAAATGTGGCCCACACAATGCCGCATTCCATACCATCTGAGTTCTATAATATCAGTGGCACACACACTCCCTGCTCTTAGAATGGAGAGCCCGATGTTCATGTTACCTTGCACTGAAAATACTTTTATTGTTTTCTATTTTTTTTTTTTTGCAGTGCCATGGCCGATGGCATCCTCACCGACAACCCGCACTTGGTGCTCCTGTTCTACATGGCTCAGTTGTTCCTACGTGAACTTGTGAAGAGTTATCGTCTCATACAAGTCGTGCCAATGGATATGTCCGGCTATTATGGTAAGTTTAATTCAACGCCAACGCCAACGCACGATTCCCCCGCCCCAGTTGGCAGGGAGCATGTTTCAGCTGTCGCCTTGCATTTGCGGGTCATTGAAAATTTGCTGTTGCCAGCAAATGTCAAACTCAGACAAGGACTTTGCCAAATGGAGTTTGGTTTTGGTATGAGCTACATAATTGGCTTAGAGTATATAGTAATAGAAGGACCGGTATAATAGGTAGATATGGCTTCAAAACTAGGCTTGGGGTAGTACATAGTCCCATAGAGTCGTTTTAAATCCTGAAATCTTTTTGGAGCCTTTCTGGTAAAAAATTCCTTCAATTCTATTTGTAAATTTTAACAAGGCTGCAAGCATCCAGTCAGCATTTACTGCACGTTCAACAATTGTTTGAGATTCTCTTGTTGCAGCAGTTGCATGCCACCCGACGGCGATTGGGTGTGTGAGCTGGCTCTGATTGCCCCTCGTTTGGCATGTTTACTAGTAATGCGCACGTGCGAGTGCAAAAATATTCAGAGCCAAACTTTGTACTGATTTGTCGCCAAACTGACCATGGAAACTGCGGGCGAATACCAAATAACGCAAATGCCAAATGCCAATTGCTGATCATAAATTTTTAAATTACAACCGCTGCTGCGTTGGCACTGGTTTCTCACTGTCAACGCGTATGGAAAGACATTAAAGTGGCGGAGTGGGTGGCAGGCTGGTGGAGTAAATATTTACATAGCTCCTGCCAGAGTCAGGCTCTGGGCTTTCGATGTGGCCCGATGTTGGTGCAGCGAATTTATGAGCCCTCTCCGCATCTGCAACAGCCCCACAAGCCATGGAAACAAACAAATTTCTGCAGTGCCATGAAAATGCCATCAACGCAGAATAAGCAATAAAAAATTCAAAAATTGAAAATGCCTTTTTTTTTCTTTTCGTGTGACTGTTGTAATTTCAAACCAAAATATACGCGAAATTGAAGGGGCCGAGCGATAGTGACTGAAACGTCGGGTTCTATACGAGACATGGTTTATGTGGACGTTTAATTATTGCCATGAAAACGAAAATGCATTTCACTCTACGGCTTAAAGGGAAAAAGCACAAGCAAAGGCTTCGACTACGAAATACTTACTTTTTTTATTTTTAGAAATCGGTAAATAATCCAAAAATAGTTATATATATATCATTAGTTTTTTATATATCATTTTTGTATATCATGATAAAAAAAGAAATTATAAAAGTTTAAATCAGATGACCAGTTACTACTTATGTCCAACACCTCGTATACGTAATATGATTGTCGATTTGAAAATATTACGCATACGCCGGGGGGGATAGATTGCAATATTTCGTTGCAACTTTTAGAAATGACAGCAGCTATAAGTAATTAATTCCTCCATGGCTGATGAAGATTGATGGCTGAATCAATCAATCAAAGAGAAAACATCAAAACAGCCATGACGCAGCGAAAGTGAGTAGAATGCTAAAATTTGGCAATAGTTCGTCTGGGATTTGATCAATAGAATATAGAATGTCTAATTAAGTGTTGGGTGGAATATAAAACTGGCTTTTGATAAAACTTTTAATTAGCTCGTGTAAAGTACAGACAACTTTTCATTCAAGAGTAACACAACTTCAAAATAGGTTGCAAATGGAATTAAAGTACGAGTTCTCTCCATCCTAATAAATAATATCAGAAAACATTAAATTCAAAGAGCCTCGATGGAAAAATAATAAACAAAAGACAACTATATTGAATCAAACAGCTTGTTATTTTTCTTTATCTTGATATAAAGTGATTGCCAAGATAAGCCTTGACTGAACTTTCACTTTGTGGCAGTTTATTTCTTAATTTAAATATATCCTTCTGTTTATCCTCCAGAGAACCGCGCCGGACCTTCGAACCTGGGTAATGTCATAAGCCAGATTTTGTTGTGCAAACAAATCACGCCGGACTTCAACGAGGAGGAATTGTGCAGCATTACCAAAGACTCGCAGGACATAGCCGTCCTTCTATCCGAGATGCAGGAGTACATGCCGCAGCACGAGGCGTACTTGGGTGAGTTTTTTTCCAGTGCGCAGGCTCCCAGCCTGTCGGCTTCTTTGCCTCAGTGGCTCCAGAGGCTGCAATTTCATTGCCGTGCACTTTGATATTTGGCCAAGGCCCGTCGGGCAAACAAAATTGTATAGCATACAGAAAAGGGCAAAACCCAGGCACAAAAACTGACTGTGCTAATAGTGTTCTGTGATGTACACAGAAAAATTTAAGAGATATTTAAATACATTAAATATACTTTAAATATTTATTGAATAATTATTTGAATAATTATTTTTAAAAAACAAAGAAAACTTAGTGGTTTGTTTTTATATGCATTGTGCACAAACTCCCTTATTTTGTAGTGTATTTCCCTTATTTTTTCGGTTGTATTTCCTTTCAACTCATTCTTTAATCGAGTCAAATGTTTACTCTTTCATCTGGTTCTTTTAGAACGAAACGCAGCACTGGACACAACCGGACCCTGGCAGGCCAAAAGGCGTCAGAACTACATCTGCAAGAATATGAGCCTTCTCTGCTGCGTCTCCAGGCCAAATTATCTCTGAGAGCAGGCGGATAGTGTTTAATCCAGCCTAACTTAGGCCCAGATGGTCAGAAACACTCAACCCACTACTTATATCAATTACTAGAGCCTAAGTTGAGCCTACATATACCACATAGAAGAAATCCTAGCATTAGGCCGAGGAGGTGAACACTCGATTGGCATTGTAACATAATCAAAGCTCGATGGCAGTGCGAGGAAAGCTAAGTTTTTCTTCTTCCAGAGGCATGTGTATAATCAAAGTTAATTATGCTGCATATACAATATTAATGTAAAATCAATTACGCAACTCCGATACGAATATGAATATATATATATATTGTACACCAACATAGAGGCGTTTAGCTAAGGGAGTTTGGCGATCATTTAAGACTTTTTAGGCCAGTAAACCGTAGTCACTGTATAGAGTCAAGCGAATAACACCACACTCTGGTGTTATCTGAACCAGATATAATCCTTGAGTTAACACTAAGATTAGGCAGAGGCTGGAGGCGGGAGGAGGTCGACGGGTGTTGGGAGCAAGGCAGTCTAGTTGTAGTTCAATATGAAGGTAGCCTTCTTAATTAAGTTAAATGCCTGGCCAGGCACAGTGCTAATGAAAAGCAATAATGCAAAAGTTGTTAACTCAGAAACACACACTCACAGAGACACACTCACCAAACAAAAAGAATAATATATGTATGTATATGTTACCAAATAGGTTTCCGTTTGTTCATTTCACGGTTTTCAAAAGTAAACTCTGCACAGTACCTAAAAAATTAACAATTAATCGAAGAACAAACCAGCAACGTGTGACCAATAAAAATACAAATAAACTAAAAGTAAATCAATCTGTTTAAAAAACAATTCAATATTCCATAGCCAAACGATAATAAATAATTCAAAGAATATAAAAGCAACAAAGGAATTTCTATCAGCCAACAAAATATAATATTTAAGTAATATTATTAGTTAAAGCTCATATTAAACCCATTAAAAGCCCGACTCGATAGAGTTTCATAAACGAGCATGTAGTTTCCTTTCCCTTCAGGCACAACGAGTTTAAAGCATTTATTTTCATTTGGCTGACACGGCAAAATATTGCCTGTAAAACGTGGCGATTGGTTACAAATTAATTTATTGCAAGGCCATGGTAAATAATTATGTGTTCATTGTTTTCGGTTCCATTGAAAACGCATTAAAACTGTACAAGCAGCGGTATTTTTCCCAAATTGAATATACTTTTAAATAGCCGCTGAGCCTATTAAAAATTCACAAGTTTATGTTATACAAAAAGGAAAACAAATTCTGAAATTGTGAATATTTCATGTTCAGCGCCATTTGGTTTCGGGTATGTGGCGCATATTTAATGACGAGTAATTGAACAATGTACACTTTTTTCTTTGTTATCCTGTCGGAGGGAGAGGGAGCTCATTCATTTAACATTGTAAATCAATTTGTAGTGCAAACAAGAGCGAGCTCAACTCTCGACATTTGTGTGGACCGCTGAAATGACAATGAAATTGTAAAAAATCTGTAAGGATGTCCCCAACACAATGGGCCAAGTGCTTGGTAAATATATATAGACACTCTTCAAGTCCAACAATGGATAATACATATAGAAGCAAATAAAACCAAGTGCAGATAAATCTTTCTCATTAAAGTTATAGTACAGATTATTTATTTGTTAATTCGATTCTAGGCATAAATCAAACACCAAACAAATTTACACAAATCTTTAGAGAAGGTAGATCGATAGAATGTTTATAATATTAATAATTATTTACTGTATATGAATGTATATTGCTTAGATTGTTTGAATAAGTACTCCATCAAGTCGTGATTGTTATATGATATTCATATAAGAATTATCTGAATGTATTTACTAAATGTTTGTTCATGTTGTTTGCAACTAAATGCCACTGAGAAGCAACTCAAAAACTCACATACTAGCAACAAGAAACTAAAACACAAAAACCAAATTACCAAACTGGGTACCAATCAAATATGAATAAAGCTATTTTTAGAGAAACTAAACAAAAAACTTGTGTTCTTTCATTTGATTTCCTTTAAAAAGTCTTTAAATATTGGAAAAGGGGCCAAGAGCGTTAAATTGCGAGCAAACGTGTAACGCAAAATTTATTACACTTCATAAAAGGGCGATTAATGTTTATAGATGTGATTTTATCACGAACACCCGAGCCACCAAGTATTTTATATATGTACTTGAACAGAAAGATGGAGTAAGCTTTTGTTTCCATCCACGAAGAGTTGCTACCTCGGCAATGCACGATTTATTGTTCAACAGTACTTATATCGATGAAGATACTCCTTAAAAAATGTATTTATTTTCTTAACAGGTTGAATAAATGTAAATATTTGGCATTCATGCGAATTACGTGACATTCAGTACCAATATACTCCTTGGCTTACCCTTAAAAGCACTTCTGGAGGTGCCAGGACGTGCCAAGGTATTAAGGATAAGCCAATGTCTTCGACAATAGATACGTCTTAATCAATCTTAGACCGATGCCAAGTGGCAAGTTGGCTGCTTCGTAGGACCCCGACCGACTTGTTTATTTTAAAAGCAACGATGGCAAAAACTTGGCTTTAAAGTTGCAGCCTCGACACGGCCCCGATGCAAATTGCATGGCCCATAGGTTTTGGTGTCGAGAACTCTATGTAAATTAGTTGGGAAAGTTGCGGCAGCGATTGCCTTTTGATGTGGTATCCCCGGACCTTGGGTTAGCAGCCAGGGGAAACCTTCAACCAGTACGTGCCGCTTTGGCCAAAATGTTTCATTTACCGCATACACACGCACTCACACTCGCACCTATGAACACGCGCCTTCGTCACCTTACTCGATTGCATTGTGGCATTGACTGTGGTTGTGGCCCAGTGTTTCCATTTCATTCGCTCTCTGACATCGGCTATACCGGCTTATCCTTCAGTCAGACGTGAGGTGTTAATAGATTTACGTGGCGCCCGTGCGGCTAGGGACCTTTTGGTGTGAGATACGTACTCTATGTTACATTTGAATCGGTACTTTATGTAATACAGTGGAAACATTTTCGGGTAAGAATCAAGTCCTCAATACCCTCTAATCTTCTTAAAAATATGGAAAACGGAAATGACAATTTATTATACATTTTACCAATATAAGAGACTATTTGTATCGTCTTTGGATAAGAATTATCATTAATATTTATCATCAGCCTTTCGAAAATTGGGTAAAATTTCAGATGAACAGATTTTGATGAAGATTTGTTCTACTCGAAGATCCAAGAATATTTAAATTACCTTGAATTAAATGAAAGCGAAAATTCTTCATGACTTAACCAATTTTAAGACAATTTTTAAACTTTGATTAAGGTATTTCCACTTCCTTTTATTTATAATTTATCCAACCAATTTAATATATAAATTTTTTCACTGTAAAAAGCTTAATAACAATGGGCACGCATGTCGTGGCAGCAACACCACTCGCTGCTCATTATGCTTCACAATGAACAAAAAATAAAACAAAAAATTTGCAATTCAAAATAAACAAAACAACAACAAAAAAATACAAAAAGAAGTTAAACAACAGGAGCTAAAAAGGAGAGGTCCGCGTCAAAAGTTGGTTAAGCAGAACGGAAGTTGACATTATTTTTATTTTCTCTCTTATTTTTTTGTTGGTTGTTTCCTTTTGATGTGTTTATAGGTAGGAGGGGCGTGGAAAGGGGACCAGAATGAAGTTGCGAGTCCGGCAAACAAGTTGGCCCCTAGCCCCAAGCCCCTAGAGTGAATTTATTCCTGTATGTGGCTTTGTGTGTGCGGCAAAGCCAAAATAAATGCCAACAAGGATAATTCTGGGGTAATCCGATTTAGTGCGTTGCCCGCTGCTGGTGCCCCCGGATTTGAATCTGTGGACCTCCTCCCTCCCCAACCATGGCGTAGACACAAAACAAAAAACTCAAACCCTCTTGATGCCTCGGCACCCACTTATATAGGGAATATAGCCGCTGTCCCTGGTCAGTGTCCTGGGCACTTAAGTGCCAGCTGATGCTGGTTAGTTGGCTAGAAATACGGCTACAGTGGGATAGGTTTCAAAATTAGTAATTGGCACCTAATTTTAAAGAACATTTAATGATCCAAAATATTTATATTATGTCTACAATGCATTGTTTGAAAAAATGAGAGAAACATTTATTTTGAATCCTAGTTGATTTATTTTTTCCATTATTATGTTCCATTTGGTTTGGATTTTACAACGCCACCCTGACTTTTTAATGGTTTTTGATGCGTTTCGTGGTCGGTAAAATTTGGTTTGGATTCTGTCTGGCTGTTGGATCTGGATGCTACGGTTTCCCTTTCATTGTTGTTGTGTGCTTAAAAATTAAAAACATAATTTTCATGTTGCCGTTCGCATTGTGGGTGCCTCTTTGCATAATTGAATAAGGTGGTGGGGCGGAATGACAATTTCAGGGCCAGGACCACGCAGGACTAAGGCTAACTTATCGACTGGGGCTTTGGACAGTCAGAGCCCAGTCTGCGGCTTTTGTGTGTGTCTGCTCTCCTGTCCTGTCTGTCCTGGTTGGTCCTTGCCAACTGTGGTCTTTAAGACAAACGTCGAGGCTATTGTACAAATAAGCACGGACAAATCTGTCTCAGACGCCAGCCATTCCTCGCCGTCGGAGTAGTGTCTTAAAAAAAGAATGGAAATCGTGCGCTGACCTAGAGGATTCTTTTTTTTTTGTTGCCAGCTCTCATCATATGCTATCTTATCAGATGCTCTGTTTTTGGAGGGCTCATAAATCGAGTGTTGGTTCTTAAAGTGCGTCTCAAAATTTTCTTTGCAATTTAATGAACCCACGCACTTTATTTTTCTGAAAAAGAAAAACCTCATAAAAGCTTCCGTTGGTACTTAAATGGCACACGTGGCGTATGCGCAATAAAACGATAGCGATAGCTAATCATTAAGCAAACATTGATTACGGAAAATCTTAAAGCCATTAATTAAATGCCATGTTTCGGGAAAACATTTTAAATCGATTTTAGGATTTTTTCTTTTTTTTAAGAACCAGGGGCATCCTTTCATCACGACGACTAAGAATCAGTTGCCAAAGCTGATGTTGCTGCTGCTGCGGAATTGCTGGTGGAAATGTTTCAGCTTCGTTTTTGCTTCTTCGCTTAGAAATGCACAAAGGAATGCTTCAGAAAGTGGCACACTGGGCGGTTTTTCGACAAGAGAGAGGGGATGGCTGTTAAAAATGCATTCGTGCTGGTACTTGTGCGAATTGCATGCAATAAACTTTATAATTCAATTGTGGTTCCGGTCCTGTTCGTCGTATGTCGTGTCAAAGCGAAAGCACACTCTCACGGCCACACAAATACTTGCACTCGTTGTGGGTGGAGTTTGTAATTTTAAAACCGAATTAAAGCACTTGTAGCTTAACCGCAAAACCACCAACTTAAATCAGCAGGTTAGTGGTTGGGCCAAGGGCTTTCATGGTATGTCAGTTAAGTTCGTGGAAAACTCCACGACCATCTAATTTTCCACACTCGGTCATAATAATGATGATTAGCGCAGGTGCCAGTACTCATTATTATGTCAATTATAATTAAAGCATAGAGTGTCCTTTTGCTTTTCTGTCAATCGTACGTACGTGTCCTGCTGGCAACCTTCAAGTTAGCTTTTTGGGAGATTACTGATAGATTTGCGTGTCAGTCATAAGTTTGTGACCAATAAGAAGTCAATTGTTAAGATGGGAAATAATTTAATGACTATAATTTGGATTTTGGAATATTATTAAATATTTTAAATATTATTTAACATTAATTTTTTTAGATTAATTTCTGTTTGCTTTCAACTTTGCTTTTGAGAACAAAGGCGAGAGAAATTTTCAGCTTCAGCTTTCAGTTCCTCGTTTGTAGAACATAAATTAATAGCTTGTCATACCATCCTTTGACGCCAATTTTTAACTTTTGTCCCATAGTACCCTGGATGAAAAGACGTAAAATTTCGTCCTTCGTCCTGAAAGAGGCGACCTCTAACGGAAAATAAACCAGACCTTAACCTGACCACTTTTGGCGCTAGTATAGTTGCTAGTTAAAGTGAGTAAATATTCCGAAAATTGTATACTCATAAGATATAAAATAATAATCAGGATGCATTAATATTGTATTAGTTTTTCAATATATTTTCTTGTCTCTTCCGTGGCTTCCACTTTACACATCACTAATTTTACACGACATCCCTCTGACGTGGTGGTTAGCAAAGCTTCCAACCTGAACTATAAGCTTTTTGGACCTTTTTTAAAAGTGGTTTTTAAAAGGTAAGGTTTTAGTCAAATATATTAAACTAAATTTATTTTTAAGCGGTACAAATTTTTACAAAAATATATAAAAAGTTTATAATATAAGATAAGTTTATAATATACCTCAGATGACTCAAAATATTCTCATTGAAATCATTTAATTTATGGAAAATAGGGAAGAAAATAATTTTTTTTATCGAAACCATTCAGTAATTTTTAAGAAATTTACAATATTAACAATTATTTCTTGATATTTCCTTTATATTAAAACAATATTTTAAATTGTTTGTGAAGAGTTTATTTATAAACATAACAATATAAAACGATATATTCGCACACTCACCAATTGGGTTTCAAGTATTTATTCAGAATGTGGATACTGGCACCAGGTACATTAAATAAGCAAAACTTCCAGCAGCCACGAAGGCAAATATACCCAAGTTCAAACACCTGCTAAAGTTCAAAACATCAACGGCAGCGGGAACCACAACAAGCAAACAAATGAGGGTCAAAGTGCAAAAAAGGAGAATATCCATGCCCATTGGGCTCGACGGTGGGTAGCCCAGGCTCAGGCAAACCCGTATTTCCTATTATATAAGGGCCAACGGCATTGGTTGGTCACTAGTTGAACTTTGACCATTCAACACGTCCTGTGTGCAATCGTAATGAAAGCAGAGAAGGCAGAAAGGGGATAGCTAAGAAAATATGCTTT